AGATTCGACTGTTGCCCCGGGTGATGGGGCCGCCGGGGTTTCAGATTCGACTGTTGCCCCGGGTGATGGGGCCGCCGGGGTTTCAGATTCGACTGTTGCCCCGGGTGATGGAGCCGCCGGGGAGTGAGATTCGACTGTTGCCCCGGGTGATGGGGCTGCCGGGGTTTCAGATTCGACTGTTGCCCCGGGTGATGGGGCAGCCGGGGTTTCAGATTCGACTGTTGCCCCGGGTGATGGGGCAGCCGGGGTTTCAGATTCGACTGTTGCCCCGGGTGATGGGGCAGCCGGGGTTTCAGATTCGACTGTTGCCTCGGGTGATGGTGCAGCCGGGGTTTCAGATTCGACTGTTGCCCCGGGTGATGGGGCAGCGGGGGTGTGAGAGTCGACGGGTGCTTCGGGTGACGAGGCTGATGGTGTGTGAGAGTCAACGGGTGCTTCGGGTGACGAGGCCGATGGTGTGTGAGAGTCAACGGGTGATGAGGCCGATGGTGTGTGAGAGTGAACTGGTGGTTGGGGTGACGAGGGCGTTGGTGGTTGTGAATGTAATGAAGGTGGAGAAAGAGGATGATGAACACGTACTGGTGTTTGTGGTGTGTGTGGTGAGTGTGACTTCCATGGCCACGGCATCGACGACGGCGATGGCGCTCCTCCGCCGCACATAGCCTTACTGCAATCAACACTCTTGCTGGTCACCGGAGCACAAGCCTCAGCCGCCTTCTGCTTGGGCCTCTCGGGCAAGCAATTTGCAGTATCATCGAACACAACATCCTTTCTACTCTGCGGCACGCACTTCTCCGCCTCGCCATTGAAGAAATTGTGAGAGAAGGTGAATTCAGCCAATTTGGGCAAGTTGCATAAGCCTTCCTCCACAACCCCAGTCAAGGAATTGTTAGAAATATCCAAAATCTCGACCTTCTTTAGGCCATCGAAGCTCTTGGACAAGATCCCACTAAACATGTTGGCGGAAATATCGAAAACCACGACATTCCCAAGCATCCCAACTTCAGGGGGCAAACAACCAGCGAAATCATTGTTCAACATTACCAACTGGTTCAGTGTGTTCCCCATTTTTCCAATGCAGCTCGGAATGCATCCCGTGAAATGGTTGTAGGCAAACACAATCACCGACGCCGGCGAATCCCCAAAAGTATCGGGAATGTTGGAGGTGAATCTGTTGTTGTTAAGGAAAATGGCATCGAGTGTCTTGTTGAAAAGTTGAGGAGGCAATGGGCCTTCGAAATTATTGAACCTGAGGTCAAGAAATTTCAGATTAGGAATCCTCACAACCACCTCAGGAAAATAGCCAACAAATCGGTTGTTGCTAAGGTCGAGCTCGTGAAGCAGAGTCATCCTCGAGAAGCTCGTTGGGATGATTCCGCAGAATCTGTTGGTGTTGATGTGGAATAAGGCTATGTCAGCAAGCAGACCGAGCTCGACAGGCAGGTAACCAGCAATGTCGGCGTGGTTAAGGTCAATGCCGGCGACGACTTCGACGGTGGAGTCGTCGAGAGCAGTAGCGCAGTAAACTCCAGTGTAGTGACAGACATCAGCGCCGACCCAATTGGCGGTGGTGTTTAAAGGGTCAGAATAAATAGCCACCTTCCAGGCTTGAAGCGCAACGTATGCCCGTCGGAGCCTTGGATTGGCAAAGGTCTCATTGATCTCGACCTTGGGATCGTAATTGTCGGGCAAATCTTTGTTCATATGCAGGGCTAGAAGTTGGCGGCCGGCAATGAAAGAAGCTTCCGCATCAGTAAGCGCCGAAGAGAAAATTGAAAATGTTGACAGAAGCACACAGATAAACAAACAACAGCCCAAGCCCTTCATCTTTTACTTTTTTAACTTTTACTCCTCAAACACTACTGCTGCCTCCTTGAATAGGCCTACAAAGGAATGTTTTGGAATGGGATGACGATTAATGGGGACTCCGGCGGGGTTTTATACTGGAGGGGAGTGGGTCGGTTCGGTGGTCCAGATGCTTTTCCGCCGTGCCCAACAGTCGTTTTCCGAATATAGCCGATTCCCATTGAAATCCTCCCGAGTTTGTTGAGTTCGTTTTTTGGAGGTCTTTTCAATGATCGGCTCGCCGTGATTTTCACTGTGTTTATTTCATTTCTCTGTTGGGCCAATGGGCTGCTGTCTCTTTAAGCAGAAGAAGATGCCGGATTTAGCCCATGCTTAAAATACTGTTTTAATGTTGGGCCAGGCCCATTGTCTTAAAGCGGCGCAGCCCAAATAGGGCTTCTTTTTGCTTGGGGCCCATTATGACAGTATTTTGAATATTTTAATTTCTTTTAATATTATTAACCCAAAAAAAATTCTTTTTTCTTTTTTATTTCATTACTCTGTTTTGTTTTGGGGCTGCATTTACTTCCAGCTGAGAGAATGTATGAAGAAAGTGGCGGGGTGGTTGGTCGAGTTGCCGACACTGGTTGGAGGAGTTGGTGTCGGATGCTGTTTTATGCAGTTATGTTCCGTCCTATGCCTCAATCCAACAATGTTCTTTTGTTTTTATGCTCCATCTCTCCCATTCTCTTGTCAACTTTCGTTTTTGATGGTTTTGTTCTTGGGATTATCTTCTTGGGCTTGTCTGTGGACATTGTAGTGGTATGTTCTTCGTAATGCTTCCTAGGTTCTATTAAAGCTATGTGAAAATGGGCATTTGGGATTTTCTGGAATCTTTGGGATTCTCAGTTCAAAAAAGCGAAAGGCATCTTGGGACTTTTGATTGTGATGGCTTTGAATCTGGGTTTTGCATCTTTTTGCAATAGATATCTTATTTTTTTGAATTTTTGAATGAGTTGCTGATGTAGCTCAAGTTTGAAACCAAAACATTTCCAGTCATGGGCCCTTGCCATTTGAATTGAAAACCCAAAAGAGAGAGAAAAGAGAATCAGAGACCCTTCTTTTGTTTTCAGTTTGTTGGGTTTGAATTTCGAATTTGGGAGCTTCTTCTGCTTAAAGCCTGAGTTTCTTGAACTAGAGCTGTACAATTTTTGTTCTCTTTGGCTTTATGTAGAATTCATGCATCTTTCACTATGGAAACCGTTGTCACATTACGCCGCTTTAATCATGGACAAGAAAACCAGAAGGCGACACGGTTCTGGTCCAACGGATAGGCGCAAATCTTCCATTCTCAGGCAGTTGCAAGAAAACAGGCTCAGAGAGGCTCTGGAGGAAGCTTCTGAAGATGGGTCTCTCGCAAAATCCAGAGACATTGACTATGAATCGCCAAATCAGGACAGAAATGTTCGACGGTCGAGATCTCTCGCTCGACTTCATGTCGAAAAGGAGTTTCTACGCGCCACTGCACTCGCCGCCGACCGGACCTATTGCACCGGGGATTTGATTCCAAATCTCTTTGATGCCTTCACTAAGTTCCTCACTATGTACCCAGAATTCCAGTCGTCGGAAAAAATCGACCAGTTGAGATCAGAAGAGTACGAGCATCTCTCAGAGTCGTTCTCGAAGGTATGTCTTGATTACTGTGGTTTTGGTTTATTTTCCCATGTTCAAACGCAGAAATTTTGGGAGTCTTCTGCGTTTACTCTCTCTGAAATCACTGCCAATTTGAGCAACCACGCACTTTACAGTGGCGCCGAGAAGGGCACGATTGAACACGATATCAAGACTAGGATTATGGATTATCTGAACACTTCTGAGAATGAATATGGGCTTGTTTTTACAGCCAGTAGGGGATCGGCCTTTAAGCTCTTGTCCGAGTCTTACCCTTTTCATACAAACAAGAAATTGTTGACTATGTTTGATCATGAGAGTCAATCTGTGAGTTGGATGGCTCAGAGTGCTAAACAAAGAGGTGCAAAGGTTTACAGTGCATCGTTTAAATGGCCAACATTGAGACTCAGCTCAAGGGAGCTGAGGAAACAGATTACAAACAAGAGGAAAAGGAAGAGGAAGAAGGATTCTGTTGGTGGCCTTTTTGTGTTTCCTGTTCAATCAAGAGTCACAGGGGCGAAGTATTCTTACCAGTGGATGGCACTTGCCCAGCAGAACAATTGGCATGTATTGCTCGATGCTGGCTCGCTCGGTCCCAAGGACATGGATTCCTTGGGGCTCTCCCTCTTCAGGCCAGATTTTATCATCACGTCGTTTTATCGTGTTTTCGGCTCTAATCCAACTGGGTTTGGCTGCCTGTTGATTAAGAAATCTGTTATAGGGAGCTTGCAAAACCAATCTGGGCGGACTGGTACAGGAATGGTGAGGATACTCCCCATTTTTCCGCAGTATATTGGTGATTCTTTTGGTGGTTTGGATGTCTTATCTGGGATTGAAGATGATGCAATCAATGATCAGGAGGATTCCGAAACTGAGAAGCATCAGGAACCACGCATGCCTGCTTTTTCAGGCGTGTTTACGTCGAACCAGGTGAGGGATGTGGTCCAGACTGAAATGGAGCAAGATTATAATAGCTCAGACAGGGATGGGGCAAGTACCATTTTTGAGGAAGCTGAGAGTATCTCAATTGGCGAGGTTATGAAGAGTCCAATCTTCAGTGACAACGAGTCGCCAGACGACGATTCATATTGGATTGATTTGGGTCGGAGTCCATTCGGTTCTGATAATTCAGGCCATTTGATCAAGCAAAAAACATGGTCGCCCTTACCACCATCTTGGTTTTCTGGAAAGAGGAGCAGTAGCCATCTTTCACCAAAACCAGCATCTAGGTTGATGAAAAGTCCTATGTATGGTGATGATAAGCAGGCAAAGGATTCTCGTGTTGTTAGTGAAATTCGGGAGGATTCAGAAATTGGAGAAGAATCGATTTTGACGAGGTTGAATTTTGCCTCAAACGGAACCCGACCTGCGAATCAAACATCTGAGTTTCGGGATCTGAAGCTCTCAAATTCCACTACATCAGGTGCCTTCAAAGACCTGAAGGAAAGTGCTATAAGAAGGGAGTCAGAGGGGGAGTTCAGACTCTTGGGTAGGAGGGAAAGGAGTAGATTTTCTGAACTTGGGTTCTTTGGCTTAGAAGAGGGAGGTAGCGCGATTAGCACGGGTCATCGGGTATCATTTAGCGTAAAATATAATGGAAAGCAAAGTTTGCATGACATGTTCGAGCTTGGAGAAGCATCTAATGCAGCCTTTGGCGATGAGGAATCGACCAGTGATGGAGATTATGACGATGAGCAAGAATGGGGAAGGAGGGAGCCTGAAATGATCTGTCGTCATCTCGATCATACTGATATGTTGGGCCTCAACAAGACTACCCTCCGACTAAGGTATCTCATTAACTGGCTTGTCACTTCGTTGCTTCAACTCCGGTTACCCGGTCGAGATAGTGTAGGGGTTCACCTTGTACAACTGTATGGACCAAAGATCAAATATGAAAGAGGTGCTGCAATTGCTTTCAATGTAAAAGAGAGCAATGGAAGAGGGCTAATACATCCGGAAGTTGTACAAAAACTGGCTGAAAATAATGGAATATCTCTTGGAGTTGGCATTCTTAGCCATGTGCAGGCGATGGACGTTCCGAAGCAGAATTTGGGACAGTGCAAACTTGAAGACATGGCGTTGTGCAAACCCATGGCTAATGGACATAACAAGAAGAAACCATTTTTCCGAGTCGAGGTCGTCACAGCTTCCCTTGGATTCCTCACCAACTTTGAAGATGTTTATAAAATGTGGGCTTTCATAGCCAAGTTTCTAAATCCATCATTTCTTGAAAACGAAACTTTGTCTTCCATCCCTGAGAGTTTGGAATCCTATCACAGGAGCCTGTTTTAGAACGTGCTTCTCCATGTTAAACATCAACGCGAAACTGTGAAAGTCTAACGCTGCCTGCTAAGCTGGTGAGAATGCAGTCATACTGACTGAGACGACGAACACACGACTCGTGCTCGTTGTGGCTGGCTCCACCTTCAGTGAAACTCGTACCGGTTTGGCTGGCCTCCGCCATTGATTGATCTTCTTATATAGAATATACAAGATTGCAAGCTACGTAGGGTGTTGGTGCTTTTAACTCTCTGCCCACAGCTAATTTACAAACTTATTTGAGATTGTAAATCTTTTGTGCATTTCCTGACAGATATAGAATCTCTAGTCTTTGTTTTTGCCTTGATCTTCTGTTTTGATTGTATTTGTTTGTATAAGGATGTAAACTGGTCGTTACTTAATGGATTTCTCTTCCATTTTCTGATAAAAAAAACAATTCCAGATTTGGTATGTTGCATTTGACATTTATTCCAAATGTCTCTGTTTGTCTGTTTGTCTGAAAGGTTGATGCTTTCCCTTCTTCCATCACAACAGCCAGTACCGACGGTCGTTGGCCTTAAAGTATATTTTCTGCAGTGATTGTAACTGCACTACGCTTTTTGAGGATTTTATTGATATGATTAAGTTAAGATAAGTGTGTTACACGCTAGGAAGTCACAACACTCTCATTTGCCACCACTTAGAACTGCATAAAGATCTTGTGTTGGAGGTTGATGTCAAGTTATCAACATTCCCAAATCTGGATTGAATGCCCAACTCCGAGCGTTCCATATGGGAAAAAGAGAGTCGATGAACAAGAAAAGAAGATTAAAAAAAAGGTTAAGCTTCCAGACAATGGTGCTGAGTGGTCGGCGTCGTGCTAGCAAGGCTCTACCCAGATCTAAAGAATTTGCTAGGGAGCGATAGAAATTAGAAAAAAATAAAAGAAAATGAAATTAAATTCAAAATTACGAATATATTTAAAAATCCATGCATACTTAAACTTTTGGTAAAAGTATATATTTCTTTTATTTTCTTAAAGAAAAGTCACTGCCAAAATGACCGCACGGTTAACTGACACACTCCACACGTGCGATCGTGGCACCCGCGAACTCGCCAGAATCCCTCGAAACTCAAATCTCTCCAGCAAGCGACCGGAACTTCCATTATTTCTCCATTAATTTTTGGTTCTCCGTAGGGTTTTCAATACCTTTTCTTCTCTTTTACCTCTCAATGTTTTGCTTTGTGGCGAAAATATCTTCGTTTTCGTTTGTATCAGCAAAATATTTCTCTAATCCCTGTTGCCTGGAGTCTGTTCATGCGGTTTGATGATGGGGACGGAGTCTCGCCGGGAGATGGTGACCGCCAGGCGGCCTTGCTTCTATACTTTCTATTCCTCCACACTTTCTTCAGAACGACTGGTAATTTTTTCGGATTTCGCCTTCTCCTGATTGTGCTTACTGTCATTATCTATGAAATTAGGTTTATACTAGCATGCATTTGTCAGTTCACATCATGTGTGGCCAGATTGGACTCGTTTCTGAAATTCGTTTCTCTTCTCTCTTTCAGGAAAAAAAAAAAACTAATTTAAGAAGCTATAGTTTGCTTTGCCTTCGTTTGTCTCTGTTTTCTGGGGCGGTCTATAGTTCAGTACTTCGAGGAAACTAACATATCTTTGAATAAAGGTTTAAATCATTCCACGCGAGTTTCACGTTGTTTTTCCATCATTTAGCTTCTAGATGTTTCTTATGAGGAATAGCTGCTCTATGCCCATCCGTTTTGATTCAGGTCAAAGATGAATCTGTAGCGCCATTTGTGTTTCGTGGCATTGTATTGTCTTGTGCTAATTGATTTTCATATTATTGCAGAAACTTCCTTCGAAATTTATCAGATACTTGGAAGAAATCATAGTTCGATCAGTTACACTTATTGGTCCTAGCGGCCAAACTTGGCTTGTTAACTTGCTCCAGCAGAATGATGACTTGTTCTTCTGTGACGGATGGCCAACTTTTGCACGAGATCATGCCCTAGATTGCGGTGATTTTTTAGTTTTTAGATATGATGGCGAGTTGCATTTCACTGTGCAAATTTTTGATGAGAGTACATGTGAGAAAGAAGGTGCATTTCATTCTCAATGCAGTCAAGATAACACAGGTCATAAAAGAGACAGGGAGGAGGACAATTCATCCCCACAAACATGCGCGGAAGCTGTGGCGAAGAAAATGAGGAGCATTTTTGATGTTCATTCAGAATGCAGGGAGAACCTAGCGGGTAAGCTGAGTTCTAGTTTTCTGGGCTTTCAGTTAAAGGTAGAGGAAAGTGCATTTCTATGGACATAGTATTTTTCAGCTCTGTCACTCCATAATTAATCTGAAATTTATGTGCAAAAAATACTTGGATAAAATAATTATTTGTAGTGATTTATCAATAGTTGTGCAGAATGTCAGCTACATATCAGCATGTGGTTAGAAATTAATTGGATTATACCTTCTTGTTTCCAGCCATAAGAACTGTGGAGGTTCATAAAAATGGAACGGGTCCGAATGGGATCAGTAAAGTTGATGACGTAACTACGCAAGATAAAATTCTGGCCTTATCACTATCATTTCAGGATGAGAAGAACGTTTCCGAGTCCTTTAGCTCCAATTTTCCATATTTTGTGAGAATCATGAAAAGCTTCAACGTTCGTGGTTCATACACATTGGTGAGTCATCCCCCAACAAAAAAAAAAAACAACGTTTGTGCTAACAAAGACAAAAATAATTCATTTTCTTTTATGATGATTGTAAAGCAGCCTGCCTCCATTTAAATGTCAGTTGGTTTAGCTTGATGCTGTCCTCTCCTGTGATGCAGAATATCCCTTATCAATTTTCTATGGCACATCTTCCTAGCTGCAAACTGAAGTTGGTCCTTCACAATTTGAAAGGGGAATCCTGGACAGTGAATTCTGTTCCTACAACAAGAGTGAATACAAGTCATACTCTTTGTGGAGGATGGATGGCCTTTGTGCGTGGGAATGATGTCAACATGGGAGATATATGTGTTTTTGAACTTGTTCGGCATTGTGAATTGCGTGTTCACATTTTCAGGGTTGGAAAGGAAATCTCTGAGGATCAAAGTGGAAAAGGAACTTTGAATAGGCTAGGTGCTGGCCATGCAGTAATTCCTCGTAAAGCTCTCAAAGGTTTGCCAAAGAAAATGAATGGCAACTCTCTTAAAGTTCATTCAAAACGCTCCAAAAGGATTGAAATACATGATAAAAAATGTTTGAACTCTTGGCAAGAACCCTTCTGCAATGATGCTAGGAAACATTCTAGTGCGAAAAAGGTATCCACTAAAGTCATGGTTTGTTCTCAATCAAAAAAGCCGTCTAAGCGTTTGGGTAAGGTTTCTCTACATCAGCATGCAGTTGTGTTTTAAATGTATGCAAAAGAGCTTTCTCTATAGTATCCTTTTATGTCACAATACCTATGATCTGTTGTTTCAAAAATGAAGTTTATTGCTTTTCTATTTATCTATGTAGTTTGATTGCAATGTATCAGGGTATCCATTATGCTTTCATCTTTTTGTTTTCAAAGCTGATCTTAATTGGTTATAATATGCAAGAATATGAACAACTTAGTTTTATGGCTCTTGAAATTTTAATGGCTAGTTAATCGGAGAACCAGTGTCAAAGGCGATCTTGTATTACCAGCTAGACTTGGTTTGCGAGCAATGGTAGCACGTGACGAAGAAAGAGCAGCTAAATCATTTGTTTCTGTTTTTCCAAGTTTTGTCAGAATCATGAAAAAGTTCAACACAAGTGGTTCATATACTTTGGTAAGTCAGTTATCATGGATCCAAATATTGTTATGTTGATGTACTCTGTTAAGTTTTAGGTTTTAGATCTAAATACTCGTTGTGAGTGTAGTTCTTTTTGAAACGTTCTATGTTGCAGAAAATTCCGCATCAGTTTTCTTCAGCACATTTCCCTAACAGCAGAACTGAGATTATACTTCATGGTCCAAATGGGGGACGTTGGATTGTGAACTCAGTACCAGACTCAATGGGGCGAATGATGCATACCTTTTGCGGTGGTTGGATGTCGTTTGTTCGTGACAACGGTATCCAGATGGAGGATATCTGTATATTTGAACTTATTGGCAAGTGTGAATTGCTGGTTCATATAACCGGAGTCGGGAAGAAAGGGTTTGACCTCAGCAGTGAAGTCACAACTTGCAGTGAATTAGCTATTGTACCGACGACAAGCAATGATCCATCTCGGTAAGGTTGGTACTCTTGTTCATTTCTTCTATATGGAAAATTTATTTGCCTATATTAGAAATTGCTAGATTTTCCATTGCTATTATATAAGGTTCATCAGTCGTCTTTTTTCCCCTAAATTCTCATCGTGGCCGACTCTGGATCATAACCCTGACTCAGAACCGAGCTTTGTAAACTCTAAAACTTGTGCAAGATGGTAGGCCCTAGGTTGGGCTGTGGTTGAACCCATGGCAAGGAATGAGTAGTTCAATCGGATTTGCCCCACTCGTACGTACTTCGCTTGATTTTCTGTCCCTTATGCTATTTCTTGAAATGAAACTGGTGAATATGTTCTCTTATTTTGATATTCATGTTCAGCTGCATGTCAGTCAGGCGCCCTTGTAGGCGGCTCCAAATGCGAAAGAAATTTCGAGGGGTGTGCAAATGAAAAATAAATTTGAAGTTATTTTCTATTTTGCGATTTTCATATTTCATGAAAGTTATTTATTAGATTAATATATTAATTTGAAAATATTGTTTTTTTTTTGTTTTTTTTTTCTTGTTATGAGTTACATGAACAAATATTACTTTATGATAAATACCCTTCAAAACGCATCTTCGATAAATTTTTGGGTCTCATCGATAGGCTTGGGCTGTTGCAAAAAATCATCCAGTGTTTTGGCCTATTTGTTATCCAACCAGTGAATGGTATCCATATTATCTCATAGGAAGAGGTTTTCACACTTATGTTTTGTTCCCTTCTCCAATTGATGTGGGTTATCTGTTATCCAACCAGTAAATGGTATCCATGTTATCTCATAGGAAGAGGTTTTCACACTTATGTTTGTTCCTTTCTCCAATTGATGTGGGTTCTTACAATCTACACCTTTGGAGTCGACGTCTTCAGTAGCACACTGCAAGCCCGTCTCACAGTTTAAACACCCGTAGAATGTTTCATTCTCTGCTCTGACATCTCTAATAATATTTTGATTTTAATATAAACTTATATTAAAATAATGATGAAATTTACTATATATTATTTTATATGATTTGATGCAACATTTCATATCAGTTCAATTTACCAACGTTTTAAGCATATTGTTCTAAACAAATTAGTATGTTACATATTCTCAACACTTCTCAACCCTCCTGATCTTGAAAATTAAATCATCTCTATTCATATTAAATAGAAACCAGGAAATGAACATAATATCACAAGACATTTAAATGAAAAAAAAATAACTTAAATTGATATCTGGACGTAAAATCTGAAGAACTAAGCGAGACTAGATGTGAGGCAACCATTGCCTTCAGTAGAAGAATTGAAAAAGGAAAGACTAACCAAACATTATTTTCTACTTTCGTTCCAAATCTGGAGGGGAAAAAGAGTAAGGATTACGTAGTCTCCACAAGCTAACCTTTTACTTCCATTCAAAATCAACTCTCCTTTTTACCTGAGATTAAACACTACAAAGCTGACAATCTCTAAATCTGAAACTAAACGACACATTATGATTTTGCAATGGCAATAAAATTAGGCGGAAAACTGCGCACAACAGCAAGCTTAGGTAGACGGGTCCACACCTCCAAAATCCACGTCCACCCTCGATAAATTGCCCCCCAGTCAACCCAATGTGCCGTACCCTTAAGCAGAGGGTCTCTGACAAGCAGAAAAAAGCTGCCAACTAGTAAAAGCCATAACCATGGAGGTGAAGAGTTCAAATCCCACCACCTTTGGGAAGTGCCAATCCATGTCTCGCCTTAAGTAGCTGGAAGAAACAATTTGCAAGAGTATTATTAAAATTAAGCACTCTCCATATCTGAATTGTGAATTGAACTTAGGAGCTTGAAACCCTGCAAATTGCTGAAAGCCAGCCAATTTGCAAGGGGAAAGATTCAACATCAATTTTGAAAATTAGCATAACAGATTGCGCAAGCAAAAGGCAAATCTCTAAATAGGTAAGCTTGTCATAAGTTTTGAATCTAGAACAACAGTATTATTTTACTTGCCTATTGATGCTCGGATAGTTAAAAAGCAGGTAAATAAAATGAAATGGAAAATCATTTAATTTTGATGTGCATACCTTGTGATGGATGGCATGGTAGCCACGATCAGTGCACAGATATAAATTATGGGAATTAAAGTCTTGGGCTTGTTTTTCCGAAGCCACATCAAAGACCCCAATGCGGCAAGAGATATACTCAACACCTGAATTGAAGTGGGGGACAGAAATTAGAGAAGCAACAGTCCAGTTGAGGAATTCTTCACTCACATTGCAAGATAAAGAACCCAAGAATTTCTTGTAAATAAAATAGGATCATATCGACGGTTGAATGCCTCCTTAAAGTAACCAAATAAAGAATATTTAAAAGTAAAGAAGAAGAAAGATCGAAACCAGATTTGCATTAGATTCAAGGCCCTGCAAAATGTAATCCCAAGTAAACTCCAGTCCTCTGGCGCCGACCCAAAGTGGTGCCAATCTGTGTAAAACAGAATCAGCAAATGCCCAACCTGCAGACAAAAAGAATAGAGTAACAAGACCATTCGATGATTAAATGTTAGGGGAGATATTAAAAGATGGAAATAAACAAGCAGAAACCGATCTGCAGCCTGCATTTACATTCAAACTAAAAGAACCTTAATTAATTAACTCTATATAAACTCACCCAGTCCAACTGCCTGAAATTTATGGTTCTGAGATATGTTCCGATATGTCAACTGGGTCAAAGCAAAGTAAAGTCCGGCGACATCAATAAAACCAATAAGCGCTTTCAACAGTTCCTGAAGTAAAAGAATTCTACCTTGTTAACAACTGCTAAGCTACAGGCACGTGTAAAGACTTTCTAATGAAATTTCCTACAAATAGGAAGGTTTCAGCTGAAAGTATTAGTACATTTGATAAGAGAATCTAATAAAAGAACCATAACATTTAGCTCTGCTATATGACCATTTGATAGAAGAAAGAGGAAAAGAGGAAGCAAACAAGGCTAGTTCACCAAATAGTGCCTTGCAACTACATCACAAGTAATCCCTTTTCAATTCAACACTAAGAACAGTTCTGTAATACTATTCTGATTCAAGTTGTAAAATTCTGAATCCAAGGGATGCATTAATCTTTTCGTTGCAAACCATTTAATGGCATAGCATTGACTCCTCGTGTTCTATACAAACAGGATTTCCATAATCGTGATAGTAAATAACAATTTCCAACAGTCGACTAAATCAACACCAACCAATAAAGCGGAGTGCAATGTGGAGCATGACAATTCAAGTAAATTCAAAAAAAGGAGGGCCAGTATTACATAATGGAAGTTAGGTTTCCCAGTTGAGGAATATACTCAAGCAACCAAATTTTTTCCCCCTAATTCCAAGGTAAATTAATGCATTTAACCTTCCAAGTCGAAGATTTGAACGAACTAAAAGGGACAAAATGCATATCTTCGAGATATGAAAATTTAAATCATTTATGCCTAGTGATGTGGTAGTAGCCATTACCAAAATACGCTGAAAAAGAAATAAAAACAAAGATGAAAGCTTCTAATAATTTTATGATCATTCATAGTTATTTTTATAGGAATGAAGGTACATAGTTGAAGAGCATAATTGCAATGATAGGAATAGGCATTACAAATGATGGAATCAAAATGTAACAACAATATATTACTGATATCTTCACCAAGTATAGATGAAAAGATTGTGAATACCTGATATAGGTCAAAGGAATCATTCTCTGACACGTTCAGAAAGGTTGCAAGGCATACAAGCTGATGAGAATGCAGAAAAAGAAATCAGTTAGATTCCTGAAGAAGTGTCTTTAATAATAACAATATACCAAAAATATAAGTAAAGAAATTCAAGGTCTCAATCCATTTTGGAGTTTGGCATGTTCGGAAATCATCAACCTTTACTAAGGCAGTTCCGAGATAAACAAATGCCGCTTTAACTGATGTTCCGAGCGTATCATACTCAGACCTGCAAAGCTTGAGTTCTTAGTGAAAATGAAATTGTGACTTTTAGGTAAATATAAAAGATAAAATTATGACAGAATCAGATACTTGCATAAGTATCGTCGATTCCATGAGCAAGATAATATGCAATTGTATCTCAGATTTACTTCATCTAAAAGTCTTTAAAGAATCCAACTGGCCAATATCTTTATTGTTAGTATTATCATTACCATTATTACTATATTATTATTTTTGAGGGACAAAAATGATCGGCTCTATTGAATTCTGAATGAATTAGTACAAACTAATACAAAAGTAAAAATAAAAATATAAAACTGGCTGGCCTTCCAGCAATTTGCATTGAATTGTGTGCATATCCTAAGAGCTATCATTGAATTCCACGAAACAACATCTCTTTGTGGCATATAATCAAACAACTCTCGAGCTAATGACAACTTTCCTACCCTTGTATATGCTGACTGCTGAGATCATGATATTCCAAGTAACAGCATCCACTAACCTCCTAATTCGTCAAAAAATCTCTAGCAATTTCAAGGTTACCTAATCAAAATAAGAGATTTGGCCGTCTGGATCAAATCTCGAAGCATTTCGGTAGTTAACAGACTGCTTTTTAAACTGTTTCTCCAATCTGATTCTAATATCCAATTCCATACGAATAAGAAATAAAAATTTGAACAGCTCAAACAAAATGTCAAAAAATCATTTAAAACAAAGCAAACAGAACGGAATTTCAACAGAAGGAATCACTGCGGCAAAGAGGAGACTCTGATATATAGTTCCATGCGAATTCCGATTCAAACAAAGAAAATAGAGCAGAATATAAAGAGAAGGAATCAGTGTGAACCTAAAGAGGCAGTAATCGGAAGAGGAGATCTAAAAAGTAGAGGAAGATAGGAGAAAAATTAAACGATAGAAGAGGAGAAGACGGAGATCCTTACAATGGCGTGGCAGAGTAGTAGACTGCATGAGGACCGAAAGTGAGAATCGCACAGTTGAAGAAATGAAACACCGTCATCGTCACTCTCTTCCGCAGTTGCTTTGCTCTCGAAGTTTAGCGCGATCCGGCGATGGGCTCCTCACTCCGAAACACCGCGCCCAAAATGTCTATTATATGCATAAATATCGGTAGTATTTTTTTAAAAAACATTGATATAAAACTAAACCAAGTTAAAATATTATTCATAGAAAAAATGGTCTCTATTAACATTCCTTTTATAAGTCCCATGAAAATGATTTATTGAAAGTACATTAATTAAAGCTTAAAATTTGATTAAAAATATATAAAGTAAATATTACATAATATTTAACGAAGTCCAGAAATCTGCGTGGGCTCAGAACAGGCTGTTAACAAACAGTCCAGAGATTGTAAGAGAACAAACTGAGGTTGGGCTCCATGATGGCCCAACTACGTGTAATTGAAAAATATATATACATTAATTTTTGTATTACGTATTTATGTCAACGAATTAGACTTTGGATATCAACATTTTAAGATCTATTTCTATAATTAGATGACGTGGGTAGGAGTGTACATTCAACCTAAGAACCCAATTCAGAACTATAAGAATTAGATTGGGTTAGGTTGAATTTTTTTTGGACCCGATCTAGATTGGGTTGAGTTCAGGTTCAATGTGCAAAAGTTTGAATCAACTCGACCCAACTTGAATATCTAATACCAAGTCATTCCGCTCTATTTTTTTCTTTCTCCACTGGACCTAAGCCCAACACATTTACATGAAAAATGTGTGTGTACACTGTACAACATGTCCTATAGAATTTCAAATCACAACCACAGCTAGCCGTCGTGATTCGTATGACACATTTTCCTTTCTGTCTTGCTTCTCAGATCTTTTCTTCTTGTTTGTGTGACATTCATGTTTTATCAAAGGTTCTTTGCAGCTCGCCGACGGGCCGATGCCACCTCCATACACGTATTTGACGTGTACCATCACCTTCTCCATTATGAGGTTCAAGTTTCTCATTCGTGGGTTTGACATCGCAGCATTGCCTTCGACAGAGAGTTTGAATATTTAATCGCATATATTTTATATAAGTCGAGTCAACCAAACACAACACAATACTTTACAATTGTGAGATCTCACATCAGTTATAGAAAAAAATGATGCATTTGTGAAAATCTTGAAAGCATTTTAAAATCTTGAGAAGAAACTAAGAACGTATTTTAATTGTGTTTGAATTGTGTTGTTGTGGGTTTGTCTGCATGTCCGCGTTTTGATGCAATATTGTGTTTAAACTATGAGTTTATGATCATGTAACGTCGCAGTTGCACAGAAGCCTAAACGGCGTGGGCTTCGGCGATTCTTTTCTGTCGTTATAGCGATGGATACAAACAACCTCTCTTTGCTTTGGGAGGAGAGCTCCATAATAGAGAGTCTAATAGATGAATAATAATAATAATAATAATAATAATAATAATAATAATAATAATAATAATAATAATAATAATAATAATGTAGGAGGAAGATTGCAAGATAGAAGATGTTGACCGGAGAAAGAATCTAGAGCGCATGAGGCGCTGACCGAGCATATGGAGGGGCAGGTCTTCCAAATCTCAAAAACAAATATATAAATATAAATATAAATATAAATCTAAATATAAAATAATAATTAAGATTAATGATAAATCATGAATAAAAAGGTTTGAAATTTGGAGCCGAGAAAGGCGCATAGAGTGTCGAGCCCCTAATACGCTTCTCAAAACACAATTAAAAAAAAAAGAATTATAAATTATTGAAGAATTTTATAGAATAAAAAATATAAAAATAAATGGTGAAAAAGGGAATAGAGATAGAGACAATGTGAGGTCCTTAGGGTCACGTGAGCCCATGTTGCCGCCGATGAATGTGGCGCTATTCAACGTCAACCGGTCGCTTGGGTGGGGCTCCGCGCGCCATTGCCGTCAACTCTTCTCGACAGGACAACCCACAGGGAATATTGTGCATTCTGAGTACCTTACGACGCCGTTTCTATGCAAACAATTTTGTAAATTAAATTGATTATTTATTGTGTCATCAGATGAGTCTTATGATCTTTTCCTGAATATATTCTCTGGCGAGAGGAGTTCGCACGTGTACAGCTCGAAGTCTAAGAGCATTTGGATAGTTCCACTCCACTTCCACACGATTATTCTCCTGGGAATTCTGCAAATCCTGTACTGCAAAGGGTTCTGAATTGTGTTTATTGAGAGGGACTAATTATTATATGTTCTTATTATCATAGTTTATTTTTATTTTTATATTACAATTTGAATTATACAATCCAACCTGCTATTTTGGTCGGTTGATTAAAATTAATATCATCGTGTGTATTTCAAATTATTCTTTTATGATCATATGTTATCTATGATTTTTATTCCTTATATTAACCTCATCCATCAAATTAATTTAACACAATTAAAAAGAAATTATGTATGCTAGGTAGAAATTATGGTGAAGGGTATTAACCCTATGGACAAAGGGTATTAACCCTATGGACAAAGGGTGTTAACCCTATGGAGAAAGGGTATTAACCCTATGTAGAGTGAGACCCAATTAAGTCCTCCGATATTCCATGGAACAGTCCCCTTTTTGTTTTCTCGATTTCCCACCATTCCCTTTCTCTCTCCTTATTCATCAGGATAAGAACTCCCTCTTCATTCAAAACCTTTCTTACACTGCCTCTTCTTAAAATCATAACCTACTCATTTCCAATCATTCATTACCCTTTTCCCCCCTCTTCTTTTAGAACCTTGTGAATCCCCACCAACGGCTCCTATGATGAACACGCCACCTTCCTTGCCGGACCTCTCCTTGCAGATCAGCCTTCCAATGTCAACGAACCCCAACCCACCAAGCTCAACCACCACGCATTCTGGTTGCAGTGCTGATTTGAGCCATAAAAATAATCTGTTCCGCTTAGGGTTTGAAGTGGGAGATGTGGGTCTTCTACAGCGTCATCATCAAGCATGTAATGTCCGTTCCCGCCGCGACTTCAAAAGAAGTGTCGGTGATGTTGCGTACGGAGTAAAAAGAAGCCCCCGCGCTCCCAGAATGAGATGGACTACAACTCTACACGCTCATTTTATACACGCCGTCGAGCTTCTTGGTGGCCATGAAAGTAAATACACCAAACCATCATTCACCTTTAATTCTTACAACAAATTGGAGCTTATTTTTATGTATCTCTCTCTCTCTCTCTCTCTCTCTCTCTCAGGAGCTACACCAAAATCTGTATTGGAGCTTATGAATGTCAAGGATCTAACCCTAGCTCATGTCAAAAGCCATTTGCAGGTTGGTGGGTTTCAGTTTCTTCCAATAATCCAATTGGAAATTAAAAAAAAAAAAAAAGCAAGGGAACTTTAAATCTAAACACATTATTATGGTTTTGTTCGTGCAGATGTACAGAACAGTGAAGAACACTGTCAAGGGAACAGGTAATGAATACAACATTTCTGATATCATCATTCAAATTCTTCATATGAATGGTTGAGAACTGTGAATGTTGCAGATGATTCTGGAAGGCCTGAGCTTGAACCAGATGCTGCTGTTTTATCTTCTTCTTCTTCGTCTTCATCGTCGGCGTCTGCTCAAAACTCGAACTTTGGATGGCGTCGTCTCCAGAGAATCCAAAGGTGAGATCATCTCTGTGCTCTTCTTCTACCCCCATGAAGTGATTTGATTTTCTGGTTCATTGTAAAACTTTTTCAAAATATTTAAATTTTGTATTTTTAAATGATGAATTGAGAATTTTAATTATCGTATATATTTTATTTTTCTCTTGCTTGCAGAAGTAGTTTGGTAACGTCAATGCACAAGAGATGTGACAGGACCAAGTCAAACGGCGACGTTTTCGCTAATTCCAGAGGAATTAAGGTAATAAATTTGTTATTAGGCACAAAAAGCATCCCTAAAATTATTCTTTATAAAATTTGGTGATATTATAAAGGTAATTTGATTTTTTATTTAAAAAAATAATATAGGTGGAAGGAAGCAACGGAGATTATGAGAAGCCAATTGCCATGCAGCGGATTAATTTAGAGTTCACTCTTGGAACCCCAAGTTGGCAATTGGATTATGGCGATGCAAATGAGCTTGCTCTTCTCAATTGCTAATTTTCTAATTTTCCAACCAAATAAATAAATAAATAAAATAAAATCTCCCAGTTTAGTCTATTTTATTCTTGCTTTTAGTTTAGTCTATTTTATTCTTGCTTTTAGTTTAGTCTATTTTATTCTTGCTTTTAGTTATATTATACTGACCAACTTTCCTAGTTTTACTTTTAATTTTTCATGAACAAATATAGTGTTTTTTTACTACTTAGAGCTAAATATAGTGTTTTTTTACTACTTAGAGCTAAATGTGGAACCGTGTGTCAGATTATGAGATCCATGATAGTTGAAGAGGGGAGTGAAACATTTTTTTTTTAATTTTTTAAAAAAATGAAAGCCCCAAGAAAAACAATATCGAGATTTCTCGTGTGGACCCATGGGCCCATTGATGAAGTGTAATGGGCTCAGCCCTAAATGGACAGACATGAATCGGTAGCAATGAAATTTTATATGATTTAAATGTGTGGTCAAGAAAAGGTTTAAATGTAACGTTCATAGCCTTATTTTCTAATGGGAGGGATCGCCTACACGCGTATCCTTTAAACGGCGACTACGTAGCTTATCATCAGCCATCCCTATCCCTCAGGTCGCCTATCTCTGAAATTGATATGGAACTTCCCGGAATATCCATCGGAATCATTCCCCCATATCTCAACACCTTTGTAGCTGCTCTCTTCCTCTTCCTTCTCTCCTCATTCTTTGTTTTCAAGAAGGCTACAGCCCCTAAACGCAGAGAACCCCCTGAAGTAGCCGGTGGATGGCCGATAATCGGCCATCTCCCACTTCTCAAAGCCGATTCCCAACTCCCTCATCAAACCTTGGGAGCCCTGGCTGACAAATATGGACCTATATTCCGCATTCGAGTGGGTGCCCAACCAACTCTCATTATTAGCAGTTCGGAATTAGCCAGAGAGTGCCACTCCACCCTTGATTCAATCGTCTGCTCCCGCCCCAAAAGTGTGGGAGGAAAGTTGTTGGGCTACAACTACGCGGCTTTTGGGGCCAGGCCGTACGATTCCTTTTATCGCAGTATGCGTAAAATCGTTGTCTCCGAGGTGCTTTCGAATCGTTGTCTGGGCTTACGGAGGGATATTAGAGTGTCAGAGGTGAAGAAATCGTTGAAGGAGCTTTACAATCAGTGGACAAAGAGAGAGGAAGGCTCGGATCACATACTTGTTGATATTGAACAATGGATTGGGAATGTTAACCTGAGAGTGGTTCTGATGATGGTTTGTGGGAAGCGGTTCCTTGGCGATTCTGCTGACGATGAGGAGATGAAACGGTGTCGTAAAGTCATGAGAGAGTTCTTGGATTTGATGGGGAAATTTCTGGTGGGAGATAGCATTCCTTTTCTGAGATGGCTGGATTTGGGTGGATATGAAAAGGCCATGAAGATAACTTCAAAGCAATTGGACTCTCTTTTGGAGGAATGGCTTGAAGAACACCGTCGGAAGCGAACCGATCATAATGACTTGATGGATGTGATGCTTTCTAATCTTGAAGGGATGGATCTTGCAGGCTACGACGCCGACACAGTCAACAAAGCCACTTGTTTGGTAATGAAATTCATATATAAAATTCCCACTTCCTCTTCTTTATGATTATCATTTCAATTAAGATGATTTGAATCAAAACAGAGCATTATCACTGGGGGAACCGATACTGTAACGGTGACCTTGTCATGGGCCATCTCGTTGTTGCTGAACAATAGAGAGGCGTTGAGAAAGACCCAAGAAGAGCTGGACATCCATGTCGGAAAGGACCGGCAAGTAGATGAATCGGACATAAGCAAGCTGGTGTATCTCCAAGCCGTGGTGAATGAGACATTAAGGTTGTACCCACCGGGACCGCTGTCGGGTGTTCGAGTGTTCAGTGAGGACTGCACGGTGGGAGGCTACGACGTAGTGGCCGGCACGCACCTCATTACAAATCTTTGGAAGATACAGACGAACCCTCAGGTGTGGGCAGAGCCTTTGGAGTTCAAGCCTGAGAGGTTTGTTAGCGGAGAGAAGCAGTTGGATGTGAAGGGGCAGAACTTCGAATTTGCCCCGTTTGGCTTAGGAAGAAGAGCCTGCCCTGGAATGAGCCTTGGGATTCAGATGACGCAGTTGGTGTTGGCGAGCCTGATTCATTCGCTGGAACTTGGAACTGGGTCCGATGAACCGGTAGACATGGCTGCTGGGTTTGGACTCACAATGTACAGAGCTAACCCTCTCCAAGTTCTCGTCAAACCGCGTCTCTTTACTTGTGCTTATACATGAGGATATTGTTACATTCGTACGAGATCTTTTACAGAAATTAAAAGCAAAATTACTGGAATTTATGCTAATTCCCAAATTTCTGGAAGTATATCATAAGGGTTGTATTTTTATTCTTCATTGTGGGTCCTAAAAATAATTAAATAACTTATCAGAATTGCCAAACAATTATTAACACAATAAAGTCAATAAATTCGTGTAAAATTAAATCTAATAAATGCGTTTTTCCTTTGACAAAAAATCAAAGAAAACAGATTTGTTTTGTTGAGCATAAGTTGTGGTTGTGTATGGATGACCAATTCAGTAGCACGGAGCTTCCCACTACGACATCCATGGCAGATCAGATTTCCCCATATCTCAACAGCACTGTAGCTGGACTACTCTTCCTCTTGCTTCTCTTCTCATATTTTGTTCTCAAGAAGGCTACATCCCGTAAGCGCCGATCACAACCTCCTGAAGTAGCCGGCGGATGGCCCATAATCGGCCATCTACGACTCCTCAGTACTGATTCGCAGCTCCTCCATGAAACGTTGGGAGGACTGGCCGACAAATATGGCCCAATATTTGGCATCCGAATCGGTGTCCGTCCAGCCCTCGTTATTAGCAGTTGGGAAGTAGCTACCGAGTGCTACACCACCCTCGATTCAATCGTGTCTTCGCGACCCAAAATTATATTACAAAAGAAACTGGGATACAACTTTGCCGGTTTTGGGTTCAGGCACCACTGCGATTCCTTTTACCGGAACATGCGTAAGATCGTAGCCTCCGAGGCGCTTTCCAACCGCCGTCTGGAGTTACAGAGAGATATTAGAGTTTCTGAGGTGAAAAGATCGGTGAAGGAGGTTTACAGTTTATGGGCGAAAACAGGGGAAGCCTCATCGGACTCCTATTTAGTTCTTGATTTGGACGAGTGGATTGGGAATATTGCTTTGAATGTGATTCTGATGATGGTTTGTGGAAAGCGGTTCGTCGGCGGTTCTTGCGGCGACGAGAGGGAGATGGAACGATGTCGTAAAGCGATGAGGGGTTTTTTTGACTTGGGGGGGAAGTTTATAGTGGGAGATGCGATTCCTTTTTTGAAATGGCTGGATTTGGGTGGATATCAAAAGGCGACGAACAAAGTATGGAAGGAATTGGACTGTCTTATGGAGGAATGGCTGGAAGAACATCGCCGGAAGAAGAGGGACTGCAGCGACGCCGACGGGGAGCACGACCTCATGGCTGTGATGCCGTCTCTTCTTGAAGGCTTGGACCTTGCTGGATATGATGCTGATACTGTCAACAAAGCTACTTGCTTGGTATGCTCTTTTTTTCACTTCCCTTACTCTATAACTCTACGAGCTTGACGACTATACCTAATCCGACAGTGTGTCAGCGAGAAAACTTGGTGAATTGTGAGATTTTGTTGGGGAGGGGAACGAAGGGTGTGGAAACCAGTGAGGAACGGCGTGCCAGCAAAGATGCTGGCTATCTCGCAACCAATGAAGGGTGTGGAAACCTCTCCAGTAACTGAGACGGTGTGCCAGCGAGTACTTCCTCGTAAGAGGATGGGGTGTGAGATCCCACACAGGCAGAGGAGAACTAAGGGGTAGAAACCTCTCTTGTAATGGGACGGTGTATCACCGTCCCAGCAAGTACTTCATCGTAAGAGGGTGGATTGTGAGATCCTACGCAGGGAACTAAGGAGTAGAAACCTCTCTTGTAACAAGATGGTGTACCAGTGAGGATGCTGACTCTCTCGATAATGGAATGGTGTGCCAGCTAGGACCTCCTTCTCCCTGGGTGGATTGTGAAATTTTAAGTTGTTTTAAAACCATTGTATCTTTTAGTTTTGAATTTTTTTTTTTGACTAGTGTCTGAGATGTTATTGCAGACGCTTATTTCTGGGGGAACTGATACGATGGCGGTAACTCTAACATGGGCGATCTCGTTATTACTGAACAACCAAGAGGCATTGAGAAAAGTAGAGGAGGAGCTAGACATCCACGTTGGGAAGGAAAGGGCAGTGGATGAATCAGACATAAGCAAGCTGGTGTATCTCCAAGCCGTAATCAAAGAGACATTAAGGTTGTACCCAGCAGGCCCACTGTCGGGGGCGCGAGAGGTAAGCCAGGACTGCACAATTGGAGGTTACAACGTCGCGGCAGGCACGTACCTCATCACAAACATTTGGAAGATACAGAGGGACCCTCGAATTTGGCAAGAGCCTTCGGAGTTCAAGCCTGAGAGGTTTCTAAGCAGCCACAAGCACATGGATGTGAAGGGGCAGCACTTTGAACTGTCTCCCTTTGGGTATGGAAGAAGGGCCTGTCCTGGGCAGGGGATTAGCCTTCTAATGACGCCCTTGGTGCTAGCCAGTTTGGTTCATTCATTCCAACTTAGAACTCGTCGTGATGAAGCGGTGGACATGACTGCCAACCTTGGGCTCACCATGCACAGAGTCAACCCTCTTCAAGTTCTCGTCAAGCCTCGTCTCCTACCTACTGCTTACGCGTGATCTCAGCGAACCCTTTTCTGGGTTGTCACAATATCTCACGTTCAAAGGTGTGAATAAATATGAAAATATTATTACTCAAAGAAGGTAATATAGGGACAACTGTTTTTATTAAGCGGGCTCCTATTTAAACAGAAATATAAATAGCTCCTATAAAAATCTTACTGAAATAAATTATTCCTCTAATAAAGATGAAGGATTTAACCACTTGGACTAATTTCATCTCACGGCCTCCCTTAGTGCATAATGTTGACATGGGTTTGGAGTTATTACCAAAATTGTAGAATCTTTCGATGTTTTTAATGTGGTATCCTTGGCACATGTTACAATGGCGGCAGAGTGCTGCAGCATAAATGTCATGTTGTGTGGTAGTGGTCGGAGATGGTGGAAATTTATCCTTCGACACGTTTTAGTATCTTGGATAAGGATTGACAGACTTGCATAGATACATAGGGTTTGGAGTGAGTGACACAATTGACATGCAATTTCCCGAAACAACATCCATGGAAATCGTTTCACCGTTCCTCAACATAGTAGGACTCATCCTCTTGCTTCTCTTCTCCGTTTTTATCTTGAAGAAGCTGGGCAGGCCTTGCAAAGGCAGACACCCTCCTGAGGCAGACGGCGGATGGCCGATTATAGGCCACCTGCGGCTGCTGGTAGGTCCAAAGCTCCCCTACGAAACACTGGGAGACATGGCCGACAAATACGGACCAATATTCACCATTCGAGTTGGTGTCCGGAAAGGCCTGGTTATAAGCAATTGGGAAGTGGCAAAAGAGTGCTACACAACTCTTGATTCAGTCGTTTCTTCGCGTCCCAAAAGTGTGGTAGGCGAATTGTTGAGCTATAACTTTGCCGGTTTTGGGTTCAGGCCATATTATGATTCCTTTTACCGCAGCGTGCGCAAAATCATAATCTCCAAACTGCTGTCGAACCGCCGTTTGGCGTTGAACAGAGACGTTAGAGTTTCTGAGGTGAAGAGAGCGGTGAAGGAGCTTTACGATTTGTGGATCACAAATAGAGATTTGGTTGTTGATATGGATGAGTGGATTGGGAATATTAATTTGAATGTGAGTTTGATGATGGTTTGCGGGAAGAGATTCATTGGCGATGATGCGGTTGTGAGACGGTGCCGCAAAGCCATGAGGGAATTCTTTGATTTGGGTGGTCAGTTTATGGTGGGAGATGCCATTCCCTTTCTTAGATGGCTGGATTTGGGCGGCTATGAGAAGGCCATGAAGACAACTTCAAGGGAATTGGACTGTCTTATTACGGACTGGCTGGAAGAACACCGCCGAAGGAGACACTCCTCCACCGCCGCAGCCGCCGATAGTGAACATGACTTCATGGATGTGATGCTTTCGAGTCTTGAAGAAGGAACGATGGACCTTGCTGGGTATGATGCTGATACAGTCATCAAAGCCACTTGCATGGTATATTACATAAGACATTCATCGTTCCATTTAGTTTTAACAATTTTTTTTATGTCGGAGGATGACTTATTAGAGTGTGTATGACAGACCCTTATAGCCGGGGGAACTGACACCATGACAGTCACTGTGACATGGGCGATCTCATCGTTATTGAACAACCGAGAGATACTAAGAAAGGCACAAGAGGAGCTAGACATGCATGTCGGAAAGGAAAGGGTAGTGGATGAATCAGACATAAGCAAGCTGGTGTATCTCCAAGCCATTGTGAAAGAGACATTTAGGTTGTACCCACCAGGCCCACTGGGGGGTGTGCGAGAGTTCAGCCAGGACTGCACGGTGGGAGGCTATAACGTGGCCGCCGGCACACGCCTCATCACTAACCTTTGGAAGATACAGACGGACCCTCGAGTTTGGGCAGAGCCTTTGGAATTCAAGCCCGAGAGGTTTCTGGGTAGGCACAAGCAGTTGGATGTGAGTGGCAAGAATTTTGAACTGGGCCCGTTTGGGTATGGAAGAAGGGCTTGTCCTGGGCTGGGCATTGGAGTTCAAATGACGCAGCTGCTGCTGGCAACTCTGATTCATTCATTTGAAATTGGAACTCGTTTTGATGAACCGGTTGACATGGCTGCTGTTAACTCTGGACTCACCGCCCGTAGAGTCAGCTCTCTTAAACTTCTAGTCAAGCCTCGCCTCCCACCCAGTGCTTATGCGGTTGATTCTGCCTAATCAATTTGCTATAATGTTTTGTAAGTCTATTTACAGTGTCTTATGTTTATCAACTCTGTTATGTTGCGCCGTTTCATGTGGATATTTTTCTTGTCATCTACTCCTTGCAATTCTCAAGTGAAAATGTTTCATGAGGGCGTTTGTAACCTCCTACAAAATGCACATATTTTGGTGGCTACTTTACAGCAATTATTTATGTATTTTTACTTTTTATTAACTTAATTCTGAGGTCATATTTGCACCTCAATCCTAAAATTTCCAAGGAAGAAGAAGAATATGGACACCCACCATCGGAGAATCGGACATCGGGCTGTAGATGTTGGCCTCTAAAAGGGTGGATCGTGCGATACTACATCAATTCCCTTGTAGAAGAGTTCTAAAATTGTGAGACTGAAAACACTATATGAAGGGTTAAAGTAGGCAAATAACGATAGACTTAGGCTGTTACACTGGCATCCATGGAACTAATTGTTTAAAAGTTGGAGTCTTTGTTTAGTAAGATTGTATTCGTAAAATTATTATTCTAAGATGGTTAAAAATTAATTTTAAATAGGAGAGCATGAAGGGATAAAAATTGAAAATAAAATGAAAGTAAAGTAGAGGGAAATTGATATTAATATTGAAAATGCGTGTATATATATATAAATTGAGGGCATCCTTACATGAATGAGAAAAGTTAGGTACATATGAACACTATAACTAACATATCTAGAATTTCTATTTCTAGATTTATTTCCCTCCTCATATTTATAATAAAAAAAGAAAAAAAAAAGGTTGAAATAATGTTCGGGCAGCAACACGTTTTTGTTTAATAAATAAAAAAAATAGTATTTAAAATGTTTGTTTTAAAATTTATTGTAAGCTGATATACACGAGAGAGAGAGAGGGAAGAAGAAGATTATGCGGTGGTGGTTGGCTCAAGTCATTTGGATTTATATACTTTTCTTGATTGATAGCGTATTTCTTATAGAGTTAGTTACATGTGAAAATATGGCCCAAATTTTGTTTTTTTTTTGAAAATCTGCCTCTCCTCTCTCCTCACCACTAAATTACACTTATTTTCATTTAAACGTGAAAAAGAAAAAAAAAAATAACCAACTTTAAAAGATCTCTACTTTATTCGTGGAGCCAGTATCTTTTGTCATCTTTTGTCATCGTCATGTTTGTCCAAAATTATAAAATTTTCTTTTTTTATTGGAAAGAAAACAGGAGTGGACGAAGAACAAAAATAAAATTTAAAAAGAGTAAACTTTTTTCTAAAAGCTAAAGAATAAAATAATTCCAAAGCTTAAACTCAAATAAATAATATAATGATTAAAAAAAATCTAACTCATCTAATAATAAATTATTTGATGAAAATGTTACCATGTGATTGAGATTTATTTATTTATTATTGGAGGTAGTTAGAGAATTCTCCAGAATTTATATTTGTAATTATTAGGAGATAATTATTGACTCGGTTATTACCGGAAGCAACCACAATGAATGCCTTCTCTATTTGACTTAATAATTAAAAAGGATAGGTTAAATTTACACTCTTAATATTTTTCAAACAAAAATAGTAGCACTGTTGTTAGGTAATGAATTACTCAATAATATTTTAACAATTTACTTGTTAAAAAAGAAACTGAGTAAATCAACCAACATATTATTGAATGAATATTATTATGAAGGGGTATTTTTGTATTTTCACTGGATTTGGGCCACTACAATTATTTTTTTTGAGTGAGGGTATGTATGCAATTATTCTAATTTATGACACTAGTTTGCTAGTAAAATAGTATTAACCATATATTCCAATATAGTTTAATGGTAATTGATATAAATTATTCTTGAAATAAACTAAAAAACAGCTGAGGTCAAGTAGGTGAATCGTCTAAGTTACCGGGAAACCATATCAATAATCATTTGAACCATGGTACTGTGGATTGAGCATGTTTTTGTGTTGAAATCACAATTTTGATTAAAGAAGAGACCATCCGTAGCTTTGGGAAAAATTAAATACATTGTAATCAAAAGACATGAAGATCGTACTCAAAAACATTAATGAATATCAGCCTAGCGTTCGTAGCCGAGAACGCAAGTTCATACCTTGTGTTACTTAACTCTTCTTAGTATGTGGTTGATATCAAATTCTCCACGTTCTTGTTCATCCATTATAAAATCTTTAAGGAATCCTTTAATTTCTAACCTCCAAAAATCATGGACTTCCAATTACCATCCTCCATCACCGTGCTTCTTCTTTTGTTTTTCATTACTTCCTGTTATTATCTGTGGCGAAAGTGGCAGCAGCACAAAGTGGCAGAGCGCAAGCAGGCGCCTTCACCGCCGGGAGCCTGGCCCATCATCGGCCACCTCCATCTTCTCCACAATGCAAAGCTCCCCCATCATGCTCTTGGAGCCATGGCCGACAAATATGGGCCCATCTTCCGTCTCCAGCTCGGCTCCCGCTCGGCTCTAGTGGTCAGCAGCTGGGAAATGGCCAAGGAAAGCATGTGCTTTAACGACGCCGCCGCCGCCTCCCGCCCTGGTGTCTCTGGCACAAAATATTTCTCTTACGACTTTGCTGCCTTCGGCTTGGCTCCTTACAGTCCTTACTGGCGCGAGATTCGTAAAGTCACTCACATAGAGCTCCTCTCTAATCCGCGCGTTCACCAGGTTTTAAATATTTCTTACTTACAAATTCTGATAATTTATTGCCTACTAATATTCTGAAACACAGGTTAAGAGCACTATGCTCGCTCAGATCAACACATCGCTGACAGAGCTGCACGAAACATGGGGTGCCCAGAAGGATGAATCGGGGCAGGTTGCTGTAGAAATGAAGCGTTGGTTTGGGGATGTGATAGTGAATATGCTTCTGAAGATCATCATCGGGAAACGATGTGTGGGTCCGAACGCCGAGGGCGGTGAAAAGGAAGCCAAAGATATCCAATTGGCAATTAGGGACTCCTTCCATTTGATGGGTCAAGGGTTGTTGCAAGACTATATTCCACTGATCGGACGGCTGGGATTTAATGGGCAGGTGCCAGTGATGAAGAATATAGCGAAACGATTCGACATGGTTCTAAGTGAATGGCTGGAAGAACACAAGCGTAGAAGATCAGCTTCTTCCGGTGAAAATGACAGAGATTTTATGGACGCTCTCATTTCTTTATATAATGGCAAGGAGATTGAAGGTTACTACGACGGTGATACCATTACCAAGGCCACAACCCTCGTGGGTATCTAAATTTTATTATATATTGTTAGGAATCACGACTCTCTCTGAAATTGTCTATTTTTTTTGTTTTGAATTTTAGATTTACTTATAAATTCATGATTATTCCTTAAATTGATACGATAAATTTGTATATGCAGAATATGTTTGCAGGTGGAACTGAAAGCACGACGGTGACTCTAACATGGGCCATGTCGTTGCTACTAAACAATCCACATGTTCTGGAAAAGGCGTGGCAGGAGCTGGACGCGGTGGTCGGGAGAGAGAGGAGGGTGACAGAGGACGACGTAGGCAAGCTTGTTTATTTACAAGCCATAATTAAGGAGACGATGCGATTGTACCCTGCAGGGCCTCTGTTGGGGCCTCGTGAGTTCCACAAGGACTGCGTTGTGGGAGGCTACTTTGTTCCCAAAGGCACCCAGTTGATCCCAAACATTTGGAAGATCCAAACCGACCCACGGGTTTGGTGTGAGCCGTTTGAGTTCAAGCCGGAGCGGTTTTTGACGACCCATAAGGATGTGGATTTGAAGGGGAATCATTTTGAGTTGATTCCGTTTGGGAGTGGGCGGAGAGGGTGCCCGGGAGTGGCGTTTGGGCTTCAAATGATGCATTTCACTTTGGCTGGGTTTTTACAGTGCTTTGATGTCAAAAACCCCACTAAGGACCCAATTGATATGTCGGAGAATTTCGGAATGGCCAATGAGAAGGTGCTTCCTCTCCATGTTTTGGTCACCTCACGGTTACCCTCTCATCTTCACGCTTTCAATTCATGAATCAATCATTGTCAACTTTCATTTCCAAGCTAAGCTGAAATCAAATATGTGCTAAAGTTATAGTTTTCAATATTACAATAAATGTGTGGTAGATGCCACTTATTGGCCATGTTAAAGGCTAAAAGATAAATTTTATGATGTAATCGACTATGCATAATCTATCACACCAAGAAAATAATAGCTAATAATAGCTAATAGTGTTAAAAACAAGCTAAACCGGGATAAATGGGGTTATGAGCTATGTAACACCCCAAGCCGATGACTAACTAATATTGTTCACTTTGACCCCACCAGTTTTACCGTTTTAAAACGCATCTATTAGGGAGAGGTTTTTACACTTTTATAAGAAATGTTTCGTTCTCATTTTCAACTAATACGAGATTTCACAAGCTATAACCTTGAAAGTTAGGGTTCCATTGTGGGACTCGAGAAGGGCTTTAGAGTTGAGTCCATGTAAGCAAAATATATATGTTTGTAAAATTTTGTGTCAATTAGACATTAGATGGACGCTTCATGCTGGTGTATGGCTCCACCAACCCTACGCTTAGGACTTAGTGAGCTACTCCATAATACATGAGTGTGTTATGGTATGGGTGAGTATTGTAAGACGAGTGTCTTGGGCGTCTTTCTTTATAGATGGGTTTCCACGAACAGTTTCAAGTGATATTGGTTGTCACTACTGTGACCGTTCCATTGAGTCTGTTGCAATATAGGGTTAGAAACTATCGTTGTCTAACTAACCTATGTAGAAACTGTTTAATTTTCATCCAATCACCCACTAACTAGAGTTTAATCTCTTTAAAGATAAAAATTAAACTCATTAATGGGAGAATCAATAGTCTAAGATATGGTAGGGACGATGTGTGGTCTATGATTGTGAAGTGTGTGTAGCAGATAAAAACCTAATTTTAGAACTCGTGAAACACATCCATATTCACGCCTAACTCATTACAATATCTATCCGACCTCGTGGTTCATTTGTACTCGATAGTGAAGCCACACCAGATACTCTGCTTCTGTGGTCTATATTTAATTGTTACTGTTGTTGCGGAGCAGCTATAAAACCCCCAAACCTGATTCAATTATGATCATCCTTCCACACCAAATCAATTCCAAACACTAAAAGTAATGGAGTTTCCCCTTCCATACCTAAACCCACTGTCCATCATTCTTCTCTTCATTATCTCTTCTTGTTATTTGTCACGAAAGTGGGTGAAGAGGGGAGTTTGTGAGGCAAAGAAGGCCCCTTCGCCGCCGGGTGCTTGGCCCATAATTGGCCACCTCCATCTGCTCAACAATGGGAAGCTCCCCCACCGTGTTCTTGGAGCCATGGCCGACAAATATGGCCCGATCTTTCACCTGCAGCTCGGCTCTCGCCCTGCTCTGGTCGTCAGCAATTGGGAAATGGCCAAAGAAAGCATGTGCATTAACGACGGCGCCGCTGCATCTCGCCCTGAACTCTCGGTCTCCAAGAACTTCTCTTACCACTTCGCCATGTTTGGGTTGGCTTCTTACAGCCCTTACTGGCGCGATATGCGTAAAATATCCCACTTGCACCTCCTCTCCAACGGACGTGTCGATCAGGTTTTAACTCCGATATTGTTTGTTTTGAGCTTTCTTTCAATTCCCACCTTTGTAATGAATTCTTAGGTCCCTTCTCCAACCTCGAATCGACTTAGGAGCTCACAATCTACTTTTGGGAACCCAACGTTCGCACCGACTTTATGGTGTCCAACTCTATTACAACCATTTGTAATAGCCCAAATCCACCGTATTATCTGCTTTGCTCAGTTTCGTATCGTATTTAGACTCACGCTTTTAAAACACATTTGTTAGGGAGATGTTTCCACTCCCTAATGTTTCGTTTTCCTCCCCAACTGATGTGGAATCTCACAATCCACCCTTCTTTGGAGCCAGCGTCCTTACTGACACACCTCCTCGTGTCCACCTCCTTTGGGGCTCAGCCTCCTCACTGGCACATCGTCCGGTGTCTGGGTCTGATACCATTTATAATTGCTCAAACTCACAGCTAGTAGATATTGTTTGCGTTTATCTATTACTTATTACCTTCAGCCTCATAATTTTAAAACTGTTATGTTAGAGAGAGATTTTCACACCTTTATATTAACCAGTGATTTAACCAGTGATTGACTTGTTACCTATGTAATCCTCCCCTTTTATGTATTTTACAGAAATAAACATGATCGGGTATGGTAATTCTGGACTCTACTAAATTCCGTTGTTTATATTGTGAACACAGGCTAAGAGCATGATGCTTAGTGAGATGGCCACATCAGTTACAGAGTTGCACACAAGATGGGCTTCGGAGAAGAACCAATTGGGACACATTAAGGTGGAGATGAAGCGTTGGTTTGGCGATGTGACATTGAATATGCTTCTTAAGGTCATCATAGGTAAAAGATGCGTAGGTCCAAACGCCAAGGGAGATGAAAAAGAAGCAATAGACTTGCAAATGGCAATTAGGAAGTCTTTTCATTTGATGGGTGAAGGGATGCTGAGAGACTACATTCCTATTCTTGCAAATCTGGGATTTGATAGACATGTTAAGGCAATGGAGAAAATAGCCATACGAATCGACTCCATTCTTCAGGGTTGGCTCCAAGAACACCGCCGGAATAAAGCTAAAAATCAGAGTTTGGATACTAAAGATGGAGACTTTATGGATTCTTTGCTTTCGTTATGTCGCTCCAACGAGCTTCCGAGCCAATTCGACCACGATACAATTGTCAAAGCCACAATACTGGTACTCTCTCATTAAACTAATTATATTATTTGAGAATTGTTGGTAGAGAGTCCTACTAATTGATCGTGCGTTTATAATAAAGGAATAAATCATTATTGGTGCGAAACTTTTTTAGAAAATCAAAAGCAAAGCTACAAAAATTTATGAGATTGGTGATTTCTAATAATCAATCCAACTGCCTATGCAGAACATGATTGCAGGTGGAACTGAAAGCAGCTCTGTGACTCTAACATGGGCGCTGTCATTACTGGTAAACAACCCGGGAGCGCTGGAGAAGGCTTATGAAGAGCTTGACCAAGTGGTGGGAAGAGACAGGCGAGTGAATGAGAGCGACATAACCAAGTTGGTTTATTTACAAGCCGTAGTGAAAGAGACAATGCGACTGTACCCAGCAGGGCCTCTCTTGGGTCCTCGTGAGTTCTACAAGGACTGCTTTGTGGCCGGCTATTTTGTTCCCAAAGGCACCCAATTGATCCCGAACATTTGGAAGATCCAAACCGACCCACGCGTGTGGCCAGACCCCTTTGAGTTCAAGCCGGAGAGGTTTTTGACGACCCATTGCGACGTGGATTTGAAAGGGAATAATTTCGAGTTGATTCCGTTTGGGAGTGGGCGAAGAGGGTGCCCCGCAGTTGCGTTTGGGCTTCAGATGGTGCATTTCGCCTTGGCTGGCCTTTTGCATTCCTTTACCGTCAAAACCCCGACGCCCCAACCAGTTGATATGGCGGAGCATTTCGGTATGGCCAATGAGAAAGTGGTTCCTCTTAATGTTTTGGTCACCCCGCGTTTACCTTCGCATCTTCACGGCCCAATAATGTAGTCGCTTCCAGGCTTGTATTTTGGGTGTTTATGGCGAAGTTATTTGTTTTATGTCTGTCATGTATGTGTTCGTGTTAAACTACAATAGTCGCCAGCTATGTTTTTATCAAAAGTCTTTGTAATATTATTTAATCAAATCTTCGTCCTTCTTTATGCTTTCTTCACTATATTTGGCGCTCATCGCAAGAGGCTACCGCCCCAGCCAGGTGGTGCTTGCCCGGTGATAGACCACCTCCCTCTGCAAACTGACCAGTGTGATCTCATAATCCTAGCTAGCGTTTTGCCTATTCATATTTTCCACTTTAACTGTTGCCTCTAGCATTAAAGAGTATCCAATGCAGATATGATGTTGGAATGGAACCAAACAAGTACTAATCTGACCAAAATCAAATCCTTTAAAGTGGTGGTACTTTTTTAGCTATGTCATCTTATAAAAAATGCAACTTTAGTTTACATTTTTGGGCCGATTTTATGGTTTATTAGATCTAAGGCTACGTTCTCTTTAATCAACCGAAAACAATTTATTGTTCAGCCACATACACCGCTCATATATGCATGTTTAGTCGTAATTTAATTCGCTCGAGGCAACTTGGTCATCTTGACTTGCTCAGACATATTTGTCTGAACCGACCCATGTACTATTCATCTCATCAGAACATCTAGAGCATGCCTCCATTTAAATTTTCATCTAGGCATTTTTAAGACTGAGAGCTTCGACAAAAAATGAAAAATCTAATTACTTTTAAAGTCAAACTCTTAAGATTTTATTGAGAAATTTAGAGACCAAGTTTGGGAATAAAAAACAGGTTAGAAATTAAAAGAAGAAATTGAGGAAAATATAAAAGTAAAATGATGGAAAATTATAAATATGATGAAAGTCAACTCGGAGGAGTAAATCGGTCATTCTGCTCTCCCTACAGCCCCTGAAATTGAGGACAGTGAGAAAAATAAAGGGAAAAAAGAAAAAAAAAGTAAACGAGGGGAAAAGAAAAGAACAGAAAAGAAAATTGGGGGAGAAAGACGGTTCTAGAGAGAGAAAGAAAATTCTGGAGAGAGAGAGAGGTAATCGTAGCTCCACACGAGTTCGAATACAGTCCAGCCTTCCTCACGAAATCTTCCTAAAACGAACATTCTTGATTCTTAAATCGTTTGAAACCCGTAAAAAAAAAAAAAAATTTAAAGTAATGTTCTTGAATCTAAATTTTAGGATTTATTTAAGATTTGTGAGATATAATAAGAGTTAGAATCTGAAATTTGAATAAGTTAATTCAATCGGTAAAGAAAGTTGTAGAAGATTCAGATCTAAATCAGAAGTTTCTACTTTTGTCACATAAGATAGCTATTGTTGTTTCTTACCATCTTTAGACTAAGATAATTATCTCAACCATTAAAAATAATTTGTAGAAAAAATATACCATTAAAAATAATTTGTAGAAAAAATATTTACTTAAATATGGATATAAACTCTCCCAATCTCGTGAAGAAATGGTGTTAGTCCCAGTTATGTAGAAAGAAATATGAAAATGCAAATAAAAGGAAAAAATAATTGGAAATCGCAGAAGGAAGGAGAACCAAACGGCAGCCGAGACACGTGTCTGGCGGCGAAGGAGCCGCGCATCGCCGGAGAAGACAGGGACACGTGTCAATCATCCAATGGCGGAGTAATTCTATGAAATACTGCGCGTCGGGCAGGAATCGAAGGCCGGCGGCCCGCTAGCCGAGTCCGCGACCCGAAGACCCGCGTGAAACCCAGGACACCGACCCGGCTTCTCGTTGCCACGCGTCAGCATAAAAGAATTCGGATTTCCAGCGCGTCTTCCGGTTTCGAACCAAGGACCTCGATCTCGGCTGACCGTGCAGCGGGCGCCACGTGGCAATGCATCAGCGCGCGTCTTCCCTCCCTCCCTCATGCGCGTCCGTACGCGCACGTGGCCGCACGCGTGTGAGCGCGTGCATATGCGTGAGGTGCACTTTTCATCCCGTTGGACGTCTGTTTCCCCGATTGTCCCGCCCCTGGAGTGGGTTGCCATCACTGCTTATCTCACGACAATCTAATACATAAAATATGTAACACATTCAACAAAATTGGGCATGTTAAAAGGCTAAAAGAGAAGTTTTATGATGCAACCGAGATGAAAGACAATGCATAATCTATCACACCAAGAAAAATAGATATGTGATAGAAAAATAAATAAGATTGTAAAGCTAACCATGTAAACAGTAATTGAAGTGATAATAATAGCTAATAGTGTTAAATACAAGCTTAAGGGAGACAAATGGGGTTATGAGTTATATAACAACTCAAGCCGACGGCTAACAGATATTGTTCACTTTGGCTCTATCAGTCTCATAGTTTTAAAACGCATCTACAGGTTTTTACGCTCTTATAAGAAATGTTTTGTTCTCAATTTTCAACTAATATAAGATTTCACAAGCTATAACTTCGAAAGTTAGGGTTCCATTGTGGGACTCGAGAAGGGCTTTAGAGTTGAGTCCACGTAAGCAAAATATATATGTTTGTAAAATTTTGTGTCAATTGGATATTAAATGGACACTTCACGTTGATGTATGTCTCCCCCAACCCTACGCTTAGGCCTTATTGAGCTATCCTATAATACATGAGTGTGTTTTGGTATGGGTGAATATTATAAGACGAGTGTCTTGGACATTTTCTTCATAAATGGGTTTCCACGAACAGTTTCAAGTGATATTCAAGTGATATTGGTTGTCAATATTGTGACCGTTCCATTGAGTCGAAGGTTGCAATATAGGGTTAGACTTCCATAACGTTGTGCCCCTTCCATTGATCAGCTATCATTTTCTTACTAACTTGGGTAGAAACTCTTCAATTTTCATCGAATCACCCACTAACTAGAGTTAAATCTCTATAAAGCTCACAACTTTAAATAAAAATGAAGTTGATATCAAAATTAAACTCATTAATGGGAGAATCAATAGTCTAAGATATGGTAGGGACGATGTGTGGTCTATGATTGTGAAGTGTGTGTAGCAGATAAAAACCTAATTTTAGAAACTCGTGAAACACATCCATATTCACGCCTAACTCATTACAATATGTATTCGACCTCGTGGTTCATTTGTACTTGATAGTAAAGCCACACCAGATACTCTGCTTCTTTGGTCTATATTTAATTGTTACTGTTGTTGCGGAGCAGCTATAAAACCCCCAAACCTGATTCAATTATGATCATCCTTCCACACCAAATCAATTCCAAACACTAAAAGTAATGGAGTTTCCCCTTCCATACCTAAACCCATTGTCCATCATTCTTCTCTTCATTATCTCTTCTTGTTATTTGTCACGAAAGTGGGTGAAGAGGGGAGTTTGTGAGGCAAAGAAGGTCCCTTCGCCGCCGGGTGCTTGGCCCATAATTGGCCACCTCCATCTGCTCAACAATGGGAAGCTCCCCCACCGTGTTCTTGGAGCCATGGCCGACAAATATGGCCCGATCTTTCACCTGCAGATCGGCTCTCGCCCTGCTCTGGTCGTCAGCAATTGGGAAATGGCCAAAGAAAGCATGTGCATTAACGACGGCGCCGCTGCATCTCGCCCTGAACTCTCGGTCTCCAAGAACTTCTCTTACCACTTCGCCATGTTTGGGTTGGCTTCTTACAGCCCTTACTGGCGCGATATGCGTAAAATATCCCACTTGCACCTCCTCTCCAACCGACGTGTCGATCAGGTTTTAACTCCCATATTGTTTGTTTTGAGCTTTCTTTCAATTCCCACCTTTGTAATTGAATTCTTAGGTCTCTTCTCCCACCTGGAATCGACTTGGAGCTCACAATCTACTCTTTGGGAACCTAACGTTCGCATGGCAAACCTTATTGTGTCCAACTCTATTACCATTTGTAATAGCCCAAATCCACCGTATTGTCTGCTTTGCCCAGTTTCGTATCACATTCAAACTCACGCTTTTAAAACACATTTGTTAGGGAGATGTTTCCACACCCTAATGTTTCGTTTTCCTCCCCAACTGATGTGGAATCTCACAATCCACTCTTATTTAGGGCCAGCGTCCTTACTGACACACCTCCTTTGGGGCTCAGCCTCCTCACTGGCACATCGCCCGATGTCTGGCTCTAATACCATTTGTAATCGCCCAAACTGTTAGGAATCACGACTCTCCACAATGATACGATATTGTCCACTTTGAGCATAAGCTCTTATGGCTTTACTTTGGGCTTCCCCAAAAGGTCTTATACCAATGGAAATAGTATTCCCCACTTATAAACTCATGATCCTTCTCTGAATTAATAAAGGTTGGACTCTCTCAATAATCCTCAACAATCCTCCCGTCGAACAAAGTACACTATAAGCCTTTCCTGAGGCTTATGGAGCTCTCGAATAGCCTCTCCTTTATCGAGGGTCGACTTCTTTCTCTAGAGCTCTCGAACAAAGTACACTATTTGTTCGACACTTTAGTCACTTTTGACTACACCTTCGAGGCTCAGAATTTTTTGTTCGATATTTGAGGATTTTATTGACATGGTTAAGTTTAGGGTATGGCTCTGATACCATGTTAGGTATCACGACTCTCCACAATGGTACGATGTTGTCCACTTTGAGCATAAGCTATCATGGCTTTGCTTTGGGCTTCCCAAAAGGTCTCATACCAATGGAGATAGTATTCCCCACACCGCTAGTAGATATTGTCCACTTTTACCCATTACGTATTGCTTTCAGCCTCATGATTTTAAAACGCGTTTGGTAGGGAGAGATTTTCACACCCTTATATCGGCTAGCTCGCAGTTGGTTTGGGCGGTTACATTTGTAATCCTCCCCTTTTTATGTATTTGACAAAAATAAACGTGATCGGGTATGGTAATTGTGTGGTCTACTAAATTCCGTTGTTTATACTGTGAACACAGGTTAAGAGCATGATGCTTAGTGAGATGGCCACATCGGTTACAGAGTTGCACGCAAGATGGGCTTCTGAGAAGAACCAAATGGGACACATTAACGTGGAGATGAAGCGTTGGTTTGGCGATGTGATAGCGAATATGCTTCTTAAGGTCATCATAGGTAAGCGATGCGTAGGTCCAAACGCCAAGGGAGATGAAAAAGAAGCAATAGATTTGCAAATGGCAATTGGGAAGTCTTTTCATTTGATGGGTGAAGGGATGCTGAGAGACTACATTCCTATTCTTGCAAATCTGGGATTTGATAGACATAGTAAGGCAATGGAGAAAATAGCCACACGAATCGACTCCATTCTTCAGGGTTGGCTCCAAGAACACCGCCGGAATAGAGATAAAAACCAGAGTTTGGATACTAAAGATGGAGACTTTATGGATTCTTTGCTTTCGTTATGTCGCACCAACGAGCTTCCACGTCACTTCGACCACGATACAATTGTCAAAGCCACAACACTGGTACTCCTTGCTTGAACTCATTATTTTATTTGAGAATTGTTGGAATAGAGTTTATTAATTGAGTTGGGTTTATAATTAAGGAATAGATCTCTATGTTAACCGTTTTTTTTGGGAAAATAAAAGGTAAAATTATAAGAATTTATGTTTAAAATGAACAATATTACTATTGCGGAGATTCGTAGTTTCTAATAATCACTGCACCTACCACCTATGCAGAACATGATTGCAGGTGGAACTGAAACCAGCACTGTGACTCTAACATGGGCGCTGTCATTACTGGTAAACAACCCGGGAGCGCTGGAGAAGGCTTATGAAGAGCTTGACCAAGTGGTGGGAAGAGACAGGCGAGTGAATGAGAGCGACATAACCAAGTTGGTTTATTTACAAGCCGTAGTGAAAGAGACAATGCGACTGTACCCAGCAGGGCCTCTGTTGGGTCCTCGTGAGTTCTACAAGGACTGCTTTGTGGCTGGCTATTTTGTTCCCAAAGGCACCCAATTGATCCCAAACATTTGGAAGATCCAAACCGACCCACGCGTGTGGCCAGACCCCTTTGAGTTCAAGCCGGAGAGGTTTTTGACGACCCATTGCGATGTGGATTTGAAAGGGAATAATTTCGAGTTGATTCCGTTTGGGAGTGGGCGAAGAGGGTGCCCTGGAATTGCGTTTGGGCTTCAAATGGTGCATTTCGCTTTGGCTGGCTTTCTACATTCCTTTAATGTCAAAACCCCGACGCCCCAATCGATTGATATGGCGGAGGGTTTCGGTATGGCCAATGAGAAACTGGTTCCTCTTAATGTTTTGGTCACCCCGCGTTTACCTTCGCATCTTCACGGCCCAATAATGTAGTCGCTTCCAGGCTTATATTTTGGGTGTTTATGGCGAAGTTATTTGTTTTATGTCTGTCGTGTATGTGTTCGTGTTAAACTACAATAGTCGCCAGCTATGTTTTTATCAAAAGTCTTTGTAATATTATTTAATCAAATCTTCGATGCTTTCTTCACTATATTTGGCGCTCATCCCAAGAGGCTACTGTCCCAGCCAGGTGGTGCTTGGCTGGTGATAGGCCACCATCCGTGTGATCTCACAATCCACCACTCCTTGAGGCTAACGTCTTGCTGTGATTAGTTCCTTTCTCCGATTAATGTGGGACTCCCCAATCTACTCTCTTTGAGTACTGCATCTTTACAGGCTCACGTCCTCCTATCTAGCCTTTTTGATGTCACGTCCTCTAGTGTCCATTTCTAATATGATTTATAATCACCCAGCAAATCACTATGGTTCTCATTTAGAAAAAGAAAAAAAAAGTATTAAAAGTAATAATTAACTAATTAAATTATAGTTGGAAATAATGATTTCCTTCATATTTTCCACTTTAAAGAAATAATTGTTGCCTCTAGTATTTAAAGAGTATCCAGCAGAGTCTTCTTCACGGAATCTTTACATAAACTAGAGGACAACATTCTTGACTCTTAAATCGGCTGAAACCGTCAAGAAAGGAGGAAAATTTAAAGGTAAAGTTCTTAAATCTACATTCTCGGATTTCCTTCATATCTATGAGATAGAGTAAAAATTAGAATCTAAAATTTGAGTATGTTAATCTAGTGAGGACTACACTCACAATCTGTTAGGAAGTTGTGGTCGATACAAATCAGAAACAGAAGTTCTGACATTCAGTTAAAGGAGATAGGTATTGCAGTTTCTTGCAATTTTAGATTATAATTATTTCTACCATTAAAAATAAATTGCACTAAAAATACTTACTTAAAAAGAAGGAAGAAACGGTGTTAGTCAGAATTATATATAGAAAGAAATATGAAAATGCAAAGAAATTGGAAAAAATAATTGGAAATCGCAGAAGGAAGGAGAACCAGACGGCTGCGGAGACACGTGTCAGGGGGCGAATGAGCCGCGTATCGCCGGAGAAAAGTGGGACACGTGTCAATCATCCAATTGCGGAGAAAATTCAATGAAATACTTCGCGTCGGCCAGGAATCGAAGGCCGGCGGCCCGCTAACCGAGTCCGCGACCCGATGACTTGCGTGAATCCCGGACCACCGACCCGGCTTCTTGTTGCCACGCGTCAGCATAAAAGAATTCGGATTTCCAGCGCGTCCTTCCGGTTTCGAACCAACGACCTCGATCTCGGCTGACCGTGCAGCGGGCGCCACGTGGCAATGCATCAGCGCGCGTCTTCCCTCCCTCACTCATGCGCGTCCGTACGAGCACGTGGCCGCGCGCGTGTGAGCGCGTGCATGCACGTGAGGTGCTCTTTTCATCCCGTCGGACGTCTGTTTCCCCGATTTTCCCGCCCCTGGAGTGGGTTGCCATCACTGCTTATGTCACGACAATCTAATACATAAAATATGTAAGACATTCAACAAAATTGACTTCTTATCTGTCGGATTCGTGTCTCATTTGGCTTCGTCATCTTCAAACCAATGCCTATATTTAATATTTACCCATTACTGCCCAATTCCAAATTATCAACATCTTCGTAGCCAAAATGGAATTATCTTGCTTCTCCTCATCGGACGTCTTTGCTGGAATCCTCGCCCTCATCATCTTTCTTTATTCTCTCTCCAAGATATATGGAGGAACATTCGGTGCTCATCGGATGCGACTGCCACCTGAAGCCGGCGGAGCCTTGCCGCTGATCGGCCACCTCCATCGTCTAGCTGGAAATGAACCAGCACACATATCATTTGCCAAAATGGCCGATGCCTACGGCCCAATTTTCACCGTTAGATTGGGTGTGTACACAAACTTGATCGTCAGCAATTGGGAAATAGCGAGAGAGTGTTTTAGTACAAAGGATAGAATCTTCGCCTCTCGTCCAAAGCTTGTGGCCTCAAAGCTGTTGGGGTATGACTATGCCATGATGGGGTTGAGCCCTTATGGTCCGCACTGGCGCCATGTCCGCAAACTAGCCACGCTCGAGCTCTTAACGAACCAACGCCTGGAGCAGCTCCAACACATTCGAGTATTCGAGGTTCGGAGTTCGATTAAGAAACTATATGAGGTGTGTGTGAAGGGTAGAAATAATGGATCAAATGAGGGAGTGTTGGTGGAGATGAAGACGTGGTTTGGTGATATAACTCTCAACACAATATTCAGGATAGTGGTTGGCAAGCGATTCTCCACGGCGGTGGAAGGAAGTGGCAATGAAGAATATCGGACGGCGTTGAGGGATTTCTTTGAATGGTTTGGAGTATTTGTTCCCTCGGATTCGTTTCCATTTCTAAAATGGTTGGACTTGGGAGGACATGAGAAGGCCATGAAGAACACGGCCAAGGTGCTTGACGAGGTGTTTGACAAATGGCTTCAAGAGCATCGACAAAAGAAGAAGAATCTCGGTGAAGGGAAGATGGAGGACCCTCCTGACTTCATGGATGTGATGCTTTCTAATGTTAAAGATGATGGACAACTCTCTAACTATGATGCTCATACTGTCACCAAGGCTACATGTTTGGTACGCATAATTAGCTTTATATTTCATACATACTTATATGTTTTTTACGTCTCTAAACTACTCGATGCTTGTGTAGGCTCTTATATTGGCCGGGTCCGACACTACAACAATAACGATGGTATGGGCTCTTTCTTTACTTCTTAATCATCCCGAAGTCATTGAGAGAGCTCAACTTGAATTAGACGAACAGGTTGGGAGACAAAGGCAAGTGAGAGAGTTTGATGTAAAAAATTTGTTGTATCTTCAAGCTATTGTGAAGGAAACATTGCGTTTATATCCTGCAGCACCGATCCTAATCCCTCATGAATCCATAGAAGATTGTACGGTTGCTGGTTACCATATCCCAGCAGGAACACGTCTTATTGTGAATGTTCAAAAGCTTCAAAGAGACCCACAAATATGGAAAGATCCGTGTGAATTTCGACCGGAGAGATTTCTAACTGATAATAAAGATTTTGATGTTAGAGGACAGAGTCCCCAGTTAATACCATTTGGAAGTGGTAGAAGAATGTGTCCTGGAATCTCGTTCGCCCTCCAAGTTTTGCATCTAACGCTTGCAAATTTGCTTCATGGGTTCGAAATAAGAAGGCCATCTAAACAGCTACTCGACATGGAGGAGAGTGCTGGAATGACGAGCATTAGAAAGAATCTACTTGAGACTGTAATAACTCCTCGCCTTCCCGCTCAAGTTTATGAATGACTTGGCTTGGTCTTGTATTGGCCAGATTTGACCGTTCATCTTGAAGAAGGAACATTCATCTATATTTCTATGTCATCTGTTTGAATCTAATAAATCTAGTAATATTTTATAAACAAAAAAAAAAATAATATAATATAATATTTCATCCATATAATATTTAAAAAAAAATTAAATTTCAATATTTTAACATAGTCTTTTTAGTACACTTACCCAAACAAAACAAATAGAAGCATAGAATGAAAGAGACATAAATTTTAGCTAGAAGAGAGAATGGTGTCCCACTCCCTTTAATTATTAGGGAGAAATTTCTTTTTCCTCTTTTTTTTCGTCCTCTATCTCGACTAGACAAATTTCACTCATTGAATAGACATCTGAATAAAGTTTTTTTTATAAGGTCCAAATTATTAGAGGCGATTGAAGATAAGGTATAGGAATAAAGAAAATCTCGACTCTATCTTAATTTTTGGTTTGGACTCCACACATTTTTGGATGGGACCAAACCCACAAATTTTGAAACGATTGAAAGCCAATAAAATTAATGAATTCTTACCATGTTTCCCATCACTTCAAGACAAAAGAAGAATTTAAATTTAATGGATAAACACATAGTTTCATTTTAAAAAGTAAGAAGAGGAATGACCTATCTTCCACACATTCACTTAACCCAATAGATCTTATATAAATCCTCCCTATTGCTACCTTCCTAAAATGTAAAGCTCACCAAATGGAACTTACTCACGTTCTACCGGCAATCTTCGCCCTTCTCCTATTTCTCTATGCGCTCTTTGCTATTACATCTCGGAGATCCAGCGCTCATCGCACCAACAAGAGACTTCCACCGGAAGCCGGCGGTCGTTTGCCAGTGATCGGCCACCTCCATAAACTAAGTGCAACAGAGCCAACTCACATAACCTTGGCCAAAATGGCCGACGCCTACGGACCTATCTTTACCTTAAGATTGGGCATGAACACAGCCCTTGTCGTGAGCAGTTGGGAAATAGCGCGAGAGTGCTTCACCACAAACGACTCAATCTTCGCATCCCGCTCAAAAGCTGTAGCCTCAGAGCTGCTTGGCTACAACTACACAGTGCTGTCCCTTAGCCCCTACGGTCCATACTGGCGCCATGTGCGTAAAATAGCCACGCTTGAACTCCTCACCAATCACCGCCTCCACCAGCTTCAGCACATTAGAATATCCGAGGTTCGAAGTTCGATCAAGAAACTGTATGAATTAAATAAGGGATCAGGTGGGAAAGTGAGGGTTGAGATGAGGACGTGGTTTGGGGATGCTACTCTTAATACAATATTTAGGATGGTGATGGGAAAGCGATTCAGCACTGTTTTCGAAGGCAGTGGTGGGGAGCAGTACCGACAAGCGTTGAGGGATCTTCTTGAACTGCTTGGGGCATTTGTTCCTTCAGATTCGTTTCCGTTTCTAAGTTGGTTGGATTTGGGAGGGTATAAGAAGGCCATGAACAAGACCGCCAAGGTGCTTGACCAAATGCTTAGTAAATGGATCAAAGAGCATCGAGAGAAGACCAAGACTTCGGGTGAACGTGGAGAAACAGAGGAGCAAGACTTCATGGATCTCATGCTTTCTGCTGTCCACGACGACGGAGGGTTATGTGGTTTCGATGCGGATACAGTCACCAAAGCTACTTGTTTGGTAAGCATATGTATTCAAAACTCATTCCTGACGTGAACGAATTCTTACCGAATAACAAATTAAATTATGATATTGTGTAGACGATGATATTGGGTGGATCTGACACTACAACGGTTACCATGACATGGGCTCTTTCTCTACTCCTCAACAACGAACAAGCACTCAAGAAGGCACAACTTGAATTAGATGAAAAAGTTGGAAGATCGAGACATGTGAAAGAGTCTGATGTCAAAAATCTACCATATCTTCAAGCTATTGTGAAGGAGACATTGCGTTTGTATCCTGCAGTGCCATTATTAGTCCCTCATGAATCTATGGTAGATTGTATGGTTTCAGGTTATCATATCCCTGCAAAGACACGCCTTATAGTGAATGTTCAAAAACTGCAAAAAGACCCACTTGTATGGGAGGATCCTAGTGAATTTCGTCCAGAAAGATTTTTGACAAGCGACACAAAGTTTGACATGAGAGGTCAAAATCAACAACTAATGCCATTTGGAAGTGGTCGAAGGATGTGTCCAGGAATCTCATTTGCCCTTCAGCTTATGCATCTTACTCTTGCAAGCCTACTTCATGAATTTGAAATTGGTAGACCATCCCAAGAATTACTAAATATGGATGAGGGTTTTGGAATAACTGTTCTTAAGAAAACTCCACTTGAAGTAGTTTTAAGTCCTCGTCTACCCATCCAAGTTTATGAATAACTTTGAAACCAAGTCGAGGAAAATAAATGAAATTATTTGTAAAAGTATTGTATAATGTAATTATTGATGTGACAGGTACGATGAAAAAAAAAAAAAGCTTATTAAGTTTAATAAGATCAAAATTTAGTATAATTATAATATAATTTTTTTTTTCTTCCTTAAGCAAATATTTCCCATCTATACGCAGACTGTAATGTTCATAGAAAGTATGAGTAAACCGTAGGACCATTGTTATCAACACGCAAACTTGCAAGTGCCCGAGCTTGTTCTTCTTTGCACACAGTAAAAAAACAATTGAAGTCAAAGTCAACCTTGCCTCAAGCCGATGAATCTATACCATTGTTAATTGTTAGGCCCTACATTATTGCACAGATATTAACTAGTTGTATTATTTACTTTGGTTATTACCTCTTATTTAATTTATAATTAATTTAACCATTTTAATTAATAGTTTATTTATTTTGGTTATTAATCTTCATTTAAGAGGATTCATATGAGCATTATGATACATAGCATTATAATACATGAATTACGTTTAAGATGGTTGAGGGTATAGAAATTTAATTGAGTTTGTGTGTCATATTATATTTGGTGACATTTCGAAAAATTTTTGTTAGGAGACTCTGTATTGTGAGAGTGAGATATTCACCCGTAAACACTTAGATTATTAAGATTGGTTACTACATGTGGATATAAGAGAATTTCTTCTTTTCGAACTACGTAAATCTTTGTCTTTTTTAATTTTCGTTCGTAGGTGTGTGAATATATTCAATCTTGCTTCCGCTAGTAGTACAACAATATCTAAAGGGACATGCTTCATAGTTAATATTAAAAAGCTAAAAAAAACAAAAAAAAAAAAACCCACTTATTTGAAAGGGACCTTGCGAATTTGTTCGAGAAAAACTTCTAATCAGCCAAAAGAAATTTGTTGCTAGAGGACAAAGTCTACAATTGACATAATTTTGAAATGGTTGAAAGATGTGCCCTCCAATCTCGTTTGCGATGCTTCTCACACTTGCAAACTTTCTACATCCGTTAAATTGAGAGTTCGCTTCTAACGGTAAAAATTTACTACCAGCAAATATTGTCATTTTTGGGCCTTCCCTAAATTTGTTACATGAGTTTGAAATCGTGAGACCCACTTGTAACAACCTAACCCCACCGCCAACAGATATTGTCCTCTTTGAGCTTTTACTTCTGGACTTTCCTTGAAAGTTTTAAAACATATCTACTAGAGAGAAGTTTCCACATACCACTGCTCGACATGGAAGAGAGTATGAAATTGACAAATCATAGAAAAGCTCCACTCGAAGTTGTTTTAACTTCATGTCTACCTACCCATGTTTCCATGCTTATAAGTAATTTCGCTATCATGTTCTGTAACAATAGTAAATCGGATTTGTTACTATTCATGCTTACTAAAAGCGTACGAACTATCCTATGAACTGAAATTCATGACTAGGTATCCATATTTAGGTCGCTATACTACATCTCTATTTCATATGTTTGTGATGTTAGTAGTTATATGGGGATGATTAGGGGTCGCCAACCCTTAATTGTGAATATGACTCGATTGTTAGAGGTCAAGATAACTATAGAATTTATATTTTATGACTTATGATTGTACCCTGTGGGTATTGCTGGGAAGTTTGCCTGTAGAGGCCCATTGATGTACCTTAGAATTGGTTGTCATTGAGACTTATGATTACTATTCATGCTTGTGACATTAGCGGTTATATGGAGACAGTTAGGGGTTCACAAACTAGCTCCTAATCATAAACCTAACTCGATTGTCAGATGTCCAAATAACTATAGAATTGATGTATGATCTTTGTGGGGATTATTTGAAAGTTTGTCAGCTGCAGGGCTCCATAGTTGTACCTTAGAGTTGGTTGAGCCTTAGCATGCATGAACCATACTGATACTGAGATTGCGCCTCGAGGGCCTAGAGCTATGATGATGAAAGAGGCTAGCATAAATGACTAATCAAGAGATCTAGAGAACTTAAGAATATTTCGAGGAATGAAGGTCCAAATAGGATCAAGAACCAAGAAAAATAGAATAAGTAACTCTAGGATGTAGCCTACGAAGGGCCTATACTTGGGAGCAAACCCTAGAATGAGAATAAGATATTAACGAATGAATTAAGATCAATATTTCCGTGTCATTTGTTTCAATTTAATAAATCTAATAATATTTCATAAAAAAATATATATAATAATATAATATTTTACCAATCTAACCTCTAAAAAAAATTTAAATTTCAATATTACAACATAGTTTTCAACCTACTTACTCAAACAAAATAAATAGATGCATAAAAATGAGGGAGACGGAGTTTTCGTGTTCAACTCTTTCATGAATAGAGAAAAATTTCTTTCTAATCATTTCGGAGTTTTCGTGTTCAACTCTTTCATGAATAGAGAAAAATTTCTTTCTAATCATTTCGGAGTTTTCGTGTTCAACTCTTTCATGAATAGAGAAAAATTTCTTTCTAATCATTTCTTCAAATCTGTACTTTGACTGAGACTGAGATGAATTTCACTAATTGAAGTTCCTAAATGTATTAGGATGAGTACAAACGGTTGGAGATAAGGTTTGGAATAAAATCTTCTCGACCTTATCTTAATTTTTAGTTTGGACTCCACACATTTTGGGTGCCAACCAAAGCCACAAATTTTGAAATATCCAAACGTTGTAGGTTAAAAACACATTTTTTTTAAAAAGAAAAATTAACTTCATAAATACATCTTCAAATTACTTTTCTCAACTCTTTTTAAAAAAATATATATATAATTTCCAAAGTTCTGTGTTCGTATTAATGTAATCAAACTTATTTTTTCTTTTTATTTTACAATTGAAGGCCAATAAAATTAATGAATTATTACCGTGTTTCCCATCACTTCAAGACAAAAAGAATTTAAAATTAATGAATAAACACACAGTTTCATCTAAAAAAGTAAGAAGAGAAAGGGCCATCTTCCACATAATCACTTAACCCAATAAATCTTATATAAATCCTTCCCATTGCTACCTTCCTAAGCTCTAAAACTCACCAAATGGAACATACTCACAGCTCAGCTGCAACCTTCGCCCTTCTCCTTTTTCTCTATGCTCTCTTTCGTATTGCATCTCGGAGACCCGGCGCTCATTCTAGAAACAACACACTTCCACCTGAAGCCGGTGGTGCTTTGCCACTGATCGGCCACCTCCATAAACTCAGTGCAACGCAGCCACCTCACATAACCTTGGCCAAAATGGCCGACGCCTACGGACCTATCTTTACCTTAAGATTGGGCATGAACAAAGCCCTTATCGTGAGCAGTTGGGAAATAGCGCGAGAATGCTTCACCACAAACGACTCAATCTTCGCCTCCCGCCCAAAGGGTTTAGCCTCAGAGCTGCTCGGCTACAACTACACAGTGTTGTCGATTAGCCCCTACGGTCCATACTGGCGCCGTGTCCGCAAAATAGCCACGCTTGAACTCCTCACCAATCACCGCCTCCACCAGCTTCAGCACATTAGAATATCCGAGGTTCAAAGTTCGATCAAGAAACTGTATGAATTAAATAAGGGATCAGGTGGGAGAGTGAGGGTTGAGATGAGGGCGTGGTTTGGGGATGTAAGTCTGAATACAATATTTAGGATGGTGGTGGGCAAGCGATTCAGCACTGTTTTCGAAGGCAGTGGTGCGGAGCAGTACCGAGAGGCGTTCAGGGATCTTTCTGAACTGTTTGGAGCATTTGTTCCTTCAGATTCGTTTCCGTTTCTAAGTTGGTTGGATTTGGGAGGGTATAAGAAGGCCATGAACAAGACCGCCAAGGTGGTTGACCAGATGGTTACTAAATGGATCAAAGAGCATCGAGAGAAGAAGAAGAGTTCGGGTGAAGGTGGAGTGGAGACAAAGGAACAAGACTTCATGGATGTCATGCTTTCAACCGTCGACGACCAAGAGTTCTGTGGTTTTGATGCGGACACAGTCACCAAAGCTACTTGTTTGGTAAGCAATTGTATTCAAAACTCACTCCTTACATGAACGAATTCTTACCAAATAACAAATTAAATTATGATACTGTGTAGATGATGATATTGGGTGCATCCGACACTACAACCGTTACTATGACATGGGCTCTTTCTCTACTCCTCAACAACCAACAAGCACTCAACAAGGCCCAACTTGAATTAGATGAAAAAGTTGGAAGATCAAGGCAAGTAAAAGAGTCCGATGTCAAAAATCTACCATATCTTCAAGCCATTGTGAAGGAGACGATGCGTTTGTATCCTGCAGCGCCGTTATTAATCCCTCATGAATCTGCAGAAGATTGTACAGTTTCAGGCTATCATATCCCTGCAAAGACACGCCTCATAGTGAATGTTCAAAAACTACAAAAAGACCCACGTGTTTGGGAGGCTCCTTGTGAATTCCGTCCAGAAAGATTCTTAACAAGCGACACAGAGTTTGACATGAGAGGGCAAAATCAACAACTAATGCCTTTTGGGTGTGGTCGAAGGATTTGTCCTGGAATCTCATTTGCTCTTCAACTTATGCATCTTACTCTTGCAAACCTACTTCATGAATTTGAAATTGGTAGGCCATCCGAAGAGTTACTCAATATGGATGAGAGTTTTGGAATAACTATTCTTAAAAAAACTCCACTTGAAGTTGTTTTAAGTCCACGCTTACCGAATCAAGTTTACGAATAATTTTGAAATGAAGTCGAAAAAAATAAATGAAATTATTTGTAAAAGTATTCATGATGTGATTATTGATGTGACAGGTATGAAAAATAAGTTGATTAAGTTTAATAAGATGCAAATTTAGTATAATTATAACATAATTTTTTTTTCTTCCTTGTGCTAATATATCGCATCTATACGCAAACGGTCACGTTATAGAAAATAAGTGATCATAGGAAAATTGTTATCAATACGCAAACTTGCCTTGTTCTTCTTTTGCCACGACCCAAACCGAATCGGACTAAAAAGACGAAATCGAAAACAAACAAAAAGAAAATAAAATAAAAGAAAAGCAAAGTAAAAAGATAAAAATACTATTGAATTAAAACAAAAGAGAGAAATTTTGTTGGTTAGTTATTACAAAAGAAATTACAAATATAAAATGAAATACAAAAGACGTTAAAAGACCGAAAAGGGACTGACGCTCCGAAACGACCCCCTCTATGACTGTACAGCTCTCAAATGCTCCTCTACCTCGACCAGTAGCTAGCGAACACCTGAGAAAAATAAAGGAGAATGGAATGAGTATAAAAATGATACTCAGTAACTCACCTACTTGTAGGCTCTATTCGCATCTTAATTTAACAAAACTCCCACGGTTTCCTAATTCGGTTCTAGGACATCGAGTTCTAACCTTAGTCTCTTGGGGCTTGCCCCTTGGGTTTCACCGGTTCATCGTCCTTTCATTAGACACCTAGAGGTTCCTTATGCCAAGCTAATGTGGTCAGTACCTCTCAATGAGATGCTACCTCTATATGGCTATCTAGGACTACATGGTACCTAGCCTAGGGGTGTGCTGAATACCCCTACGCCCACATAGTCCTCTTATGGGGGGCGCGACCCAACCCGTTCCCATGCAGCTAATAGGCTGTACGACGTGGGGACACATTTCCCATGCGAAATGGCTAAGAGCAGTAAGGACTGATCGTGTACCCTTGGTCCTCCCACGAAGCTATAGATACCGTTCTCACACTAGCAATCTATGAACACTCCTGAGGTACCTTGTTGCCATGGTAATCAGCTAAATTCCTAGGGGAAAGTTAAGTCTGGCTAAAGCGACATATCGCTCCTAACGGTAACCCCCTAAGCTTATCCTAGAAATGGGCACTAGAAAATAACGGAGTGTGCATGCAATCGTCTTCTAACATCCTAATATTCATGCAAACTAGGCACGCCGGCTCAACGGGGCGATGGCCTCCATCCAGCACCCAAAACACGAAATTCGCGCTCAATGGGGCGAATTCATCCATCGAGCACCCGAAACATGGAATACACAATTTCAACATAAATTAAACGCATGCATACGTACAATGGAAGCTTAAGGCATACAAGCAACACTCAGATAATTCACCCAACACATCATAACAATCCATCTGATTAATCTCATTCATGGAGAGCTAATTTATGGCAAAATTACTAACATGCATACATACAATCGAAGCGAACCCTACAAGTATTTCTTTCTAAATACCGGGAGGTGACTTACCTGGTTGACGCGTGCCCTTTTTGCCAGCGTTTCTTTGCCCGTGAGGTGTCCAAAAGTACTAATTTCTTTAAATTAGGTCTTATTCACGTAAGAATAGTATTAGAACTGGAACCGGGACAAAAATCGGGAAAACAGAAAACAACCGGGCCAAATTGGCCGTTCCACGCGCTCTCACGCGCGCGGGAAGGTGCTAGTTGCAGGTTGCACGCGCGCCCGCCTCCGCGTAGTCGCTGGTCGGCCGGTCCGGTCGGCTCGGCTCGCGTCGCGGTTCGGGCCGGCTTGCAAGCGACACGTGTCGACGCCTCGCTGAAGCTGCGTTGCTCCAACCGATGGTCGACGTGTGTCCGGCGCCTGTCGCCGCCGTCCGCCGCTCGCCCGCCGACTTTTTTTTTCTTCTTTTCTTCTCTGCCCTCTGAAAACCGAAACACAACCCTCTTTTCCGATTTTCATATCTTTCGATCCGTAGATCGGATCGATATGATTCCTTCGGCAAAGTTTTAGATCGTGTTACGGGCTACGTCCTAGCATTTTTTTTCGTAATTTTTGCTTAACTACCGGACGAGTTAAGAAGGTCGGAATTTCGCTCACCGTTCTCGGACGACTCTCGGATCTCCGCCTTCGGGTTGAGGTCTCGGCCGAACTTCTTCACAGATCATGCGTAGAGTTGTTCCTAATGAATATATCAAGATTTCAGATCTTGATTCAGAAAGGAAAACCATAGATCTGAGAAAACGTTCAAGATCCTTACCTTGCGGATTTTCCGACTTCTTGATGAAAAATGGGACTCCGGCCACCCACATTCTCTTTTCCCTTCCAAGAAAGTCTCTCTGCATCATGATCTTCACCTCCTTGCATCGTGATCTTCACCGGAATAGACTCCGACGGTAGTTTTCGGTGAGTCTTTAGGCGGTTCATCCCTTCTCCTCTCTCTCTAGGTTCTCTCTACCCCTTTCTCTCACTATCTCTCTTTTGCAGGACTCTGGATGTGGTTTCATTTGGACCCTTAGGTGGTCGGAGGGGCAAATTTACCTATTTGTCCCACTCTCCTTCATTTGGACCCTTAGGTGGTCGGAGGGGCAAATTTACCTATTTGTCCCACTCTCGAATTTTTCTCTCTCTTCTTTTTTTTTTTTTTTTTTTTTA